TGTCATTCGACCCCAAACCCATCCAGGTAAGGTTTTAGTTTTTTCTGGTTCATGATTTGTACTATGTTTTGTTGATCCTAAATTGTTTGTTTTCTTTGACTTTACCATTAAATCTAGGGTGATTGGAATGGTGCTGGTGCTCACACAAACTACAGGTAATGTATACATATTATTCGTATTAAGTCAATTAGTTTTTGGTTAGTTTCCCATAGGTCAGGTCAAAATAGAATTGTAATACTTGTGCTGTAAAATATAATACTGATCAGGAAAAATTGATTAATTGTTACTTATGAAAAATTCGACAAAAATGGTTTGCAGCACAAAATCAATGAGGAATGAAGGTGGATATGAAGTGATTAAGACAGCCATTGAAAAGCTTAAACTAAGGCACAAAGACCACATCGCCGCCTATGGTACCGGCAACGAGCGTCGCCTGACCGGGAGACACGAGACGGCCGACATGAACACTTTCTCATGGGTTTGTTTTCACTTTTTTGTCTTAGGACTAGCAATTTCTGACACAGTTTGTCGAATATCGATCATTATGTCTGATGATGAAGTGGTTATATGTGTTTATTGCAGGGAGTTGCTAACCGAGGAGCGTCTGTTCGCGTGGGTCGGGACACTGAGAAAGAAGGCAAAGGCTACTTCGAGGACAGGAGGCCGGCGTCGAATATGGATCCGTACACTGTTACCTCCATGATTGCCGAGACCACCCTCCTCTGGAAACCTTAAACAATGATTATTGAGTGTACGAGAAGTGTAATGTTTTTTATTTGAGGGAAATTTATGAGTGTAGCTTAGAAAACGCCTTCCGGGTTGTGTTTAATTTATAGTTTTAAATGTTGTTGTTTTCCGGTTTCCCTTTGTGCTTGTAACTGAGAGGGCGTGAAGTTTCACTTCATTAATTTCTACTTTCCTGTAACAGAATAATGATTAATAACATATATAATGAAAAGGTTGATTGGTGTTTCATGTTGGCAATTGTATTAATTATTACCTCAACAAATTTTGTGGTCCGAACAGGTTGAGGTTAACATTGTTTTTACACATCATTTTTATAGATTTATTTGCAGTTGAAAAATCAATTAAGTAATAATATTGTATATTTGTACTTTATATGGTGAGGGTAAATTAACTTGACAAAATGAGAGACATTGAGGGGTAGAATTGATAAAAAAAAAAAAAAAAAAGTTATAAATATACATTACAAAATGCACCAAAAATGCACGGTCATTTAATCATTAACAATTTTTTAAAATTTTAATTTAAGGACTATGTTAAAAGGAAAAATGTGGCACAATAAATAATGCTTGATTTAAGCAAACATATGAGTATATGACAATATATATCATTATAATAATTATAGTATGATATTTATATTTTTTTTATGATGACAAAAAAATAGCTTTCATTTTTTTTTTTTTTTGCTGAAAGAAGTAAATTAAATTAAGTAAATATTATTATATTTTTATTATTACCACAAAAGATAAAATAGTTGCAAAAAGAATAGGAAATACAAAATTTTTAAAATGACAAGCGTTTCATGTACACTAATTTATTTGTTATAATAATAATATAAAAATAAAATAGTCATCATCTTTTGCATTGTTGTTATTATTATTATTAAAAGATTAAAAAAAAATACTTTGGAATGAGTAAATTAATAATATAAAAAGATTAACAAAATATTTTATTACATATAAAGTTTGTACATAAATGAAAATGTAAGGATTAAAATATAGTAATTCTATAATTATCTTCTTATCATCATTATACCATGAATAAAACATTTACTAATGCATTTTTATATTTAGTAGGTTATAAATTTAGGGTGTTGCTATTTGTATCACCCTTTAACCAAAAGTGGGTATAAAGTATCTTGAAAGTGTAAAAAGGTAAAATTTTTTATTAATTAATAGGTGATGTAAATAGCCAAATGGTGATACATTTTGCTATTTGCACCACTTGGTCAAACTTACAATTAATAATTTTTACTAATTCAAAATTTAATTAATTAAAAAAAAAACTAAACTAAACATCACCTTCTCTGGTGAGAAGGCAACCCCTCGCCCTCTCACCGGAGAAGGTGACCGGTTTTTTTTTTTTTTTTTTTTTTTTTTTTTTTTTAACTGGGCTGCCTTGGAGAAGGCAGTCCGGTGGGTCACCTTCTCACCGGAGAAGGCGACCCAACTGCCTTCTCCGGTGAGAAGGTAGTCCGTCGCCTTCCCACAGGAGAAGGTGATGGGTTAATATATATTTTTTAATTAATATTTTGATGGTTGTAAAAAATGAATAATAAATATTAATATTTGACCACATTTAATGATGGTGGACTTTTTTATTTGTACCACATATAAAGCTATTATACCTATTAAATAGGTGATTTAAATAGCAAATTGGGTGGTGCAAATATAATTAACCTAAATTTAACTATTTAGTATTTACGTTAAAATATATCAAAATTGGTAATTCACTTTTAAAACTCATTACTTCATTTAATGATTGAATTTTGTACTAAATTTATTTATGACTAAATGTGAAATTACGAAAAGTTTTCAAAATTAAATATATAGATTTTTGAATACTACTGACTCTATTACATTGTCTTTCTCAACCTAATGAAGCGCAAAGAGTCAACAACACCTTCACTGAAACTCGATCTCATGACCTCTCTCATATGAAGCGTAAAGAGTCAACAACTCCTCGAAATCACTACATGTCATCTTAGCACAGGACGCTTGGCTATTATTATTTTATTTTATTTTTTTTGAAAACATTAAATATTAAATTTGATTGATTCAAAGTAAAATAGAACAAAAGTTGTTTCAATAAAAAAATGAGAGTTTTAGGCTAGGTTTGACATAGCTTATAGCTTATTTTAATCTACTAATAAGCTATAAGTTCTATTTGGTAATATCCCCAAAATAAGCTCATAGCTTAAAATAATACTAGCTTATTTTGGAACGCTATCTCAGGTAGCGTTTCAAAATAAGCTCATAGCTTCCTAACTTTTTTTTTTTTTCAATCTTTATCCATATTATTTTAAAGAAATAACATAATTTACCCTTACCAATTAAAACCTTTTTTTTCTCTTATCATTTATCCGCAACTTTCACCTTTCACCACAAATAATAATAATAATAATAATAATAATAATAATAATAATAATAATAATAATAATATTATTATTATTATTATTATTATTATTATTATTATTATTATTATTATTATTATTATTATTATTATTATTATTATTATTATTATTATTATGCCCGCATGGTAGCTCAACTGGTCATAGAGGTGAAATTTTGGAAGAATGACCAGAGATCGAGTCTCATCAGCGGCAGTGTGGGAGCAACCTCTTAAAGTGAGGGGGGGGCTCCTTGTGCGCAGTGAGCACCGGTCTAGCCTCTGTGGTTCATGTTCAGTTGAGTCACCATGATTTACATCCTCCCAAATGCTTAGCCTCTGTGGTTCATGTTCAGTTGAGTCACCATGATTTACATCCTCCCAAGTTGAGTCACCATGATTTACATCCTCCCAAATGCTTATGTTGAGTTGAGTCACCATGATTTACATCCTCCCAAGTTGAGTCACCATGATTTACATCCTCCCAAATGCTTAGTCTCTGTGGTTCATGTTCAGTTGAGTCACCATGATTCTGTCGGGCCGGAGTGGGGGGCTCTTAGGGTTGGGGATGATTTACATCCTCCCAAATGCTTAGCCTCTGTGGTTCATGTTCAGTTGAGTCACCATGATTCTGTCACCATGATTTACATCCTCCCAAATGCTTAGTCTCTGTGGTTCATGTTCAGTTGAGTCACCATGATTCTGTCGGGCCGGAGTGGGGGGCTCTTAGGGTTGGGGATGATTTACATCCTCCCAAATGCTTAGCCTCTGTGGTTCATGTTCAGTTGAGTCACCATGATTCTGTCGGGCCGGAGTGGGGGGCTCTTAGGGTTGGGGTTCAGCCTTTTGGAAGAATAATATTAATATTATTATTATTATTATTATTATGATATTTGCAACAATATTGCTACTTCATTATAAGATGTTAGATCATGATTATGCTAATAGTTTTATTTCAAAATATTATTTTTTAAAAAAGATAAAATGTTAAATTTTAATATGTAAACAAACTAATTTAAATTTTATGAAGATGGCCTTGTTAGTATTTTTACATTTATCAGCTTATCAAAAAGCTAATTTTACTAAAAACTTTCCATCATAACAGCTAGCTTAACAGCTCTTCAGTTTTCAGCTCCGAGCTTATAGCTTTTTAGCTAAATTTGCCAAACAGAGTCTTATACTTTTGGTCTCACAACTTTTACTTTATTTATTTATTTATTTATTTATTTATTTATTTTTATTTTTTATATTTGATCCCATGATTTTTAAAATCTTGGCACATTTGGTCCTTCAATTTAATTTACGTTCACTACCTCACCGGTGAGTCAGTGACAAAGTACTTATCAGATTTATGTATTATAGTGTTTTGTTCAATTTAGTTATTGGCCCTGTTTGGTAAAATGGCTGTTAGCTGATAGCTGTTTGCTGTTGGCTGATTGTGTTAATTAGAGGGTATAAATAGTTGATAACATTAGCTGATGGTAGAAAAGTGTTTGGTAAATTAGCTGTTAGCGGATAGCTGTTTGGTATAATTTATTTTCTCAAAAAGCTAATTGAAAAAGTTGCTAGGAGTAACTTTTTTAATTTTAGCCTTTTGGAGTTGCAAAAAGCTAATTAACCAAACATTTATATTGATATTTTAACTAAATCAAACAATTAATAGTGGTCAAATAGGCCAAAATTGACATATAGGCCAATTTTTTACCAAACAGGGCCATTATATATTTATTTTGTTCAATTTAATCCATGTAATTTGAAAAGTGGTGCAATTAACTGAATTAAGAACAGTAATTAACTAAATTAAAATAGAGGCACAAAAATTAAATTGAACAAAATATTAGGTGATGGTTCAAATTTGGAGATGTGGCTAGAGGGACGCCGAACAAAATTTTACTTCTGAAACAGGGTTTAGGGTTTAATACTTTAATCAAGAATTTTTTTCAAATTCCAAAAATAAAATTCGAAGAAAAGAAATTTAGGATTTGCTTATCTAGTTAAATTTATACTGTATACAAATTCCAATGATTTTCCGGCGAGCAGCTGCTAAACTACTCGGAGGATTCCGGCTATCTTCTTCTGCCACGTCACTTCAGAAAAGATCTTCCATTTTTCTGTCCAATGCAGGTCTTTGTTAACTCTGTTCTGTATAAAGAAGAAGAAAAAAATCTCAAATTGAAGTTAGTTTATCTAATCTAAATGAATTCTTTAATGCCTCACTGTTTACATTTCAGGAATCGCGTTTGATTTATATTGCTTCTAAGTGTAATATTTGGCATACTTCTGAATAGTGTATAAGTATAATTAGCAAGATGATTCATATTTTATTGCATTAAGGAGTTTTATTTTTTTATTTTAATTTTAATTTTTTATTTTTATTTTGACACATAGTTTAACACTTTCCTTGTATTTGTGCATTTGCAGTTTTCCAATTTCCTTGTATGCTAATCCCTCATCATCCTACACTAATTCAGTTTCAGGAAAACTTGAGTGTGTTAATCAACATGGCTTTGAAGGTGATAGTTTGAGTAGGCACCCATTCAAATGGATATTTCTATTTGGACAAGCTGGTACAATTTTTTTTTCTTCAGAGTGTTATCTACATATATTTTGGTGTACATCCCAGCACACCTTGTTACTATGGCCTTCCATTAGAAAAGTTGATCTTTTGGCTTACAGTGTTAGAAACATATTTCATTAAACATATGCAACATAATTCTTATTATATCAGTAATCCTTGGAGGACAAGCTACTGTTGTGATGGCTGAAGATGTTTCGACTCCTGTGAGTTCTAATGATGCAAATGAGGCTAAAATAGCTGGATTGCAAAAAATTGAGGATGGCTCTATCACATCAAATATACACACTCAGAAATGGAGAGTCTTTACAGACAGTGGAAGGGATTTATTCTTACAGGTATGTCTTACCTGACTGTTTTGCTGATTCTCTAGTGTAAGCTGTTTTTGTTCTCATTTTCTAATTTCTATTATTAGTGTGGTTCACATCTGATCTGCAGTTCTGATCCTATTTTAACCAGGGAAAGATGGAGGATGCTGAGAAACTTTTCCTTGCTGCCATCCAGGAAGCTAAAGAAGGTTTTGGGGACACAGATTCGCATGTAGCATCTGCATGCAACAATCTGGTGGGTATATGTGCTTTCTGCATTCTCTAATGTTTGTCAAGGCTCATTGAATCTTTGATTTACACTGTGTCCTATAAGGTCTTTTTTTTGCCGCATTTTCCTTTTTCTTTCCCTCTTTTCCTTTAATAAATTCTCTTCTGCTGCCTTTCCTGAGGGATATGCTTGGGTATGTGGAGAAGACCATTACTGAACTTCCATTCTGCAACTGTTCATATTATGTTCTCTATTTTCTTCTGGAGTATTATCTACTATCTCTTTGGGAAATCTCTATCTATGAGTTTGTATCTGTGACAGGCAGAGTTGTATAGAGTTAAAAAGGATTTAGACAAAGCAGAACCTTTATATTTGGAGGCAATCAGTATCCTCGAGGAATCATTTGGACATGATGATATACGGTAGATGTTAATTTTCAAAGGTTATGAGTGCCTTTTCTTTATTAATGTGCTGCTTAATTCCATCTTCTTACCACTGCTAATGTGAATTTTGCGACTTGAAAGTTATAAAACTTGTACATTCCATAACAATCATAAATCCCTTTTTTTTTTTTTTTGGCATGCTTCTTGTTAAAACAGCGATTGCAAATGTAACCTGCATATTGATCAGTTGTTTTTTTTTTTTCTTGTTCTCTACACCACATGACATCTTGTTTGAGGTTGGGAGGTCTGTCATCAGATCCTTATAATTTGTACTTGTTCTTGATCTAGGGTTGGGGCAGCGCTTCACAATTTAGGTCAATTCTATCTTGTGCAACGAAATTTAGAACAAGCTCGTGTTTGCTATGAGGTAAAGCCACAAAAGAAATGGCAGATACCTTTTGCTTCTTTTTCTTTTACATCAGATGTGCTCATCCTTGATTGAGTTTTTCTCTAAAGACACATTCTGGTGTTTTAAAATCATGAAAATATGTGTTAAGTCCCTATAGAATAAAAATTTTCACCATAAAGATAGTGGCACACTTCTGACTCATTTTAACCCTTGAAAGATATGGATAATAAATACTATTAATCAGTGAGTAAGAATACTGTTTATTAATGCATAATAAAATGCTCAAATCTTTTTATGAATGTTTTCAAGTGTAGCCTATTTTCCTTGTCGCTAAACTAATATTCAAAATATATTGGCTACTCCTTAGAATATGGCTCTCATCTGCAGACACTTATTGGCTTTAGGTTGGTTTATAAGCTTCCATAAACAGAAGAAATGGCATAATATGTTAAAAGCACAGCTTAACTTGTGCTGTTTAACTGAAGAATGAAAATGCTTTTGTGTTGATAACAATACATATTATTATATTGATCAAAGTGCTAAAAATGGTCAATACACAGACTTATATATAAAATGACTCTGATTACAACCTATATTACACTCTTAAGGTTTATTTAGTAGTAAAAACAAATTAAAAAAAGTGTTGACAGAAAGATTAATTTGTTTCCAACTTAGTTACTCCGTATTATCTTTTGCAGTCAAATATAAGGCTTATTTAGAATGTGGCTTCAACTCAGAGGCATGTATATAGCATGGTTTGAAGCAATCTGTAGATGAGTAGACTCTTATTTATTCATTTACTTTACCTGGACTTTAGGCTGGACTAAGCCCCATGGTTTATGCCAAGTGCCTCCTCCGTATACATTAGGCAAATCTCCAGGTTGTGTAACTGGATGGCATGGCCCCAAGGAGTCAACTCCTAGACTTTAACCTTGTCTTTCTAACAATAAATAGGAAGTTTATATCAAGTTGGATATGCTACTAAAAATTTATATCTTGCATTTCTTGTCTGAGAACATTTGCTCTGGTTTTTTATCACTTTGATGGTTTTGAATCAGGTTGCCCCTTTTACATTGTAGATAGAAATACTTTGTCATAGAGAGCATTGCATGAAAATTGAAATGCATTTCCCCACTACTGATGCTATTTTATTTTCTTTGTCCAATATGCTTGGCAGCGTGCTTTAAAGGTATGTGGTTAATGGTTTAACTTTAAATTTGTCATTTATTGTAATTAATGTTTCTAATATTGTCATACCTTCACCCTTTTGATTGTTCAGATAAAGAGGCGTGTGTTGGGGGAAGCTCACCCTGACTATGCTGATACAATGTATCATCTTGGAACTGTAATGTCATGTTCTTTATATCTTCCCAATGCATATATCTTCTCCTTTTATATGAAGTACTGCTAATTAGATGTTTAGATGTCATACATCTTATATCAAGGCTAGGACGTATATGCATGCAAGATGTTATGTTCTCCCGTCATGGGCAAGAAATCATAAGGAAAAATGAACAATGAATAATAGTTGGAAAAGGAAAAGAAGAAAACACTGGGTTTGCTTGAGACCCAGAACTCCGTTAGACCCAATGCATATATCTTCTCCTTGAGACCCAAAACATAATGATCAATTGTACGTTGCTGCTTCTAAGGTTAGCAATCTAAATGGATTGAAAGTATTAATATGTAGTGACTCGAATACTATTAGTACTTCAACTACTAACGTTGTTTACCATGAAGTTTTTAATAATGTGTAATAATCAATTTACTTAGCTTCTTATTATTTAATTATAAATTTTTATTTTTGTAAATTAAATTTTAATTCAGGTATCTATTTATTATACTTAAATTAGGTCTATCATAAAGAACTTAAAATTTTAATTCATGTATCTCTTTCTTTTATTATAAATGTTACAACAGTACTTCATATTTAATTATATAAATTTAGATCGTGCATCGCACGGGACAATATGATATGTTCACGAGATATACTTCTCGTTATGGGCCTATGAGAGACAGAGTTTGAACGATTGGTTCTGTTCTTCCCAATCGTGAAGAAGGGAAAACAGAATGAGAGAAGAGAGAGTTGGGGAGAAGTTGGAGGAAGAAACTTCCTTTTGACTTTATTCAATTTCCAACTTGTCTTTCAATCATATATTGCTGTCCTATTTAAGGACTACCAACATAATTAACTAAGGAAGGAAAGATAATTACCAACTATAAAGAAATTCTGAAATAATACTAATTGAGATAAAAAAGTAAAGAGAATAAATCAGATTGCTTAAATCGAGGGTGCCAATCTGTAAGATTTGCGCCCTTTTGCAGTAGTACTGTTGACCAACGAATGCATCATCACCCCCGTCCTGGAGATCAAGCTTGTCCTCAAGCTTGAAGCAGGTGACAACGTTCAGGTTGAATTCAGGTGATGCCATCGCGTGCGTCCAGGCTGAATTCAGGGAAGTCCTCTGTGGATGCAAGCCCACCAGGCGGTTCTTCACCATCCTCTAATGTCCACAACATAAAAAGGTTGCGGCATTTATGACCCTGAAAAATTTTTTCATCACAGTTGTAGCATAAGTTTTTGGCCATGCGCTCGGCCTTTTGTTCGGGTGTGAGGAATTTAAATTTGGGTTGTTGCGAGTTGAGTGATGGATGTATGGGTAATGGAACACGGGCGGATGACGGGGCATTTTGTGTACTGGCTTGTGGAGGGGCAGGCTTGGATGACAAAAGGCCTAACAAGTGGCACTTGCGCCCTTTTGCAGTAGTACTGTTGACCAACGAATGCATCAGAATATCTAGTTATTCTAAATAATACTCCCTTTTATAGGGTTGATTACAAAGATTCCTAAACTAAGAATGATTAATTATTTGGTAGTTTCTAAATAATTAAACTACCTAAGCTAATTCGAAGACCAAGAGTAATAAGTTAAAATAACTATTTAGTTTAGTAATTTCTAAATAACTATTTAGTAGTTTCTAAATATCTAAACTATGTAATGCAATAGTAATAAAATAAGACTTCCTAAATAATCTTGGCATCAGCATGTATCATAAGATTTAATTGAAGCCTTTGTTTCTAGATCATGCCTACAAATAAGATTCCTATCTTTATCTCATGCAGTTTTTTCCTCCATTAATATTTAAAACACTGTGTTTCCTTATCAGTTCTAGGAGACACTCAATATGTTTAAGCGCCTTCCAGATTCAACTGCTATTCATTCACTTAGGGTGCACTTGGGAGAGATTGAAGTGTTCCAACTCCAAAAGGCTGTTTGGATGAACTGTAGTTAGAGCAGTATACCACTCCAATCTCACTGCCACCTTCTCTCCCAAATGCACCCTTAATTAGTTGATACTCAATTGGCTTGCACACTGTTTAATTTTCAGTGACCATTCTTGATGTATTTGGCTGTCAAATGTGGTTTTCTTTTGGAGAAAACTGCAGTAGTGGTTAAATCCTCAAATTTCTTTTACTGACCAAAAATACAAATAAAATTCCAGGTTCTGCGCCTCCAAGGGAAAGAGAAGGATTCTGAGACCCTTATTTGGGATTCTATTCGGATTTTAGAGGTTTGGTATAAGTTTCTTAGAATGACAGATTATGGGTAACCTATTGTTAAATAATTTATGCTACTTTTCTTAATCTTATGTTTGGCAAGGTAGGATGTTGGTCAAGGTGAATCTATCATATGCACCAAGAGGATGCAGCATCTTGCTGAGGTTGTTCTTCCACTTGTTGTGTCCATAGGATGCTTCTGTGAAACTTTCATTATGCAGGAAAACAAAACTATTTTTTAAACTTACAAGCTAATGGTTTAACTTTCAAAAAAAAACTTATATGACTTATCTTAGGGTTTACTCCTTTATACAGATGTACTTGAAGTCCAACCGAATTGCAGAGGCATTGAGCCTGCAGAGAAAGATCTTGCATAAAATGGAACTGTCTAAGGTTATCAACTTTTTGGTCATCTTCTTTAATCTTTAACATTGTCTCCTATTAAATTAATTTATGCAACTTTTTTCCTCATGTTGTTTCAACTACTTTTGCTTTTCATGTTTTTATGAAATGGTTTATCTCCCTTATAGTAATCCTCTATATCCATGCATTTTCTTTTTCTGATTTTTAGGGATGGGGTTCTCTGGACACAGTACTTGCAGCAGATCGCCTTGCCCTAACCCTTCTGACTCAAGGGAGCTTAACAGATGCTCAACAGCTTTTAGAAAGGTGAATTTCAGTATTTTAACTAATTGTTGAGAGGTTAGAGTGGTGTACTTCCTGGTGTGTATAATTTGGTATGAATTTCTGGTGCAGATGTCTTGATGCCCGGAAAACTCTACTTCCTGAAAATCACATTGAGGTTTGTGAAATCTCAAACTTGTACAATGGCCCAAATTCTGTTAATTTATATGCCGTGGTTGCATAAAACTGCTATGGAAACTAGTGGAATATCTTGCCATCCGATGCCCCCTCAAATATATATATGATCGAAGGTGTGGTGCATGGTGATAATAATGAGTAAAATATATGACATTTTAAAATATGGACAGGATGGGACTATGAGAGCAACCCTGCCTTCTATACAACAACAACAACAATAATATATGACATTTATTTTATTAAAAAATACTCAGTAATTCAATTCAAAAGTACTTTTCCAAAATAAATATATTGTTTTTTGTTTGAAAATATAATTCAAATAAATATTGATGAATATTTTAGAGAGTCTCAAACATCTTCAATAATCAATTATTATTAATACATGTCTAAATAGATAGTATGATTAAGAGAATGCCTTGTTTTTGTATGAATATAATTTAAATAAATTGCAGGATAGTTATTATGAGTATTGTTTAACTTTAACAAGAAACATTAATTAGGATTTCAAACATAATTGTTAACATGATGTCAATATTTTATTAGTAAGAATATATATTTGATCTCAATTAAGACTGAGAAGTGTTACTACAACAATGTCCTTAATTTATACTCCATACATACATAGAGTATATGTACTTTTTTACAAAAATATTATAAGAACAATAATTCAAACATATGATGTCCTTTTTATTGGAGAAATAATTCTACTCAAAATTATTTTTAAATAATAGAGAAATCATTTTGTTTCAAAAACTAACGGAGTAATTTAAATGAGAGCAAATTCCACTTTTAGTTCTTGACTATTGTGGCGTTGCCACATTTAATCCTACTCTTTTAATTTGCCTTGTTACATCATTGACTTTCATTTGCTTGCTACAATTAGTCATCTATTTAAATTTTTGTCATGCCTCCATTAATAAAGAGGGCTGACATGTAATTCATCATTCAAGCCTTTTGCTCCAACATGTAATTTTCTCTCCCTCTCTTGTAAACTCTTTTAATTAAATGATAAAATTACACGTTAGCTATCTTTATTAAATAGTGGAATGATAGAAATTTAAATGGATGACTAATTGTGTCAAGCAAAGGAAGGTCAAGGATATAATGAAACAAAATAAAATGAGTAGGATTAAATGTGGTAATGCCACAATAGTTGATGACTAAAAGTGGAATTTGCTCTTTAAATGAATAGCAACGAATAGTTTACATACTCTTAAGTTTTGTTTTTTGTTTTTATTTTTATTTTTTTAATAAATTTTTTATAGTCAATTATGGAACTTATTTAAATTATCAATGTGTGAGTAACAGGAATCTGTTATCTTCACATTATTGCCCTAATTCCCAAGTAATGTTTGCATATCTTGAAATGCAAGAAATTTTATTTACTTTATGATGTAAATTATATTGTTTATAATAATTTCCATGTTAAACATGCCTACTTTGCATTGTAATTTTTAATAGATTTATCTCATTTAGTTCTTTTTTAGTAGATTGCAGGCAATATTCTTCATATAGCTAGACTGAAAATGCTTAGCTCCAATAAACTAAGGAAGACGAATGTTACTCAAGCAATCACTGAGCTTGATATGGCAAAGGATCTTTTAAGCCAATCAATTAGGTAAATGGGGTATTACCTTCAATTTCCTTTGCTTGTATTGTATTCTACTATTCTCTTGAACACTCAATTACTGAAGTCAAATTCATGAGTAACCTATGTGTTTACAAAGTTTTCTTTCTTTTGCTTGTATTTTAGTCTCTTGAACACTTAGTTGTTAAAGTCAAATTCATGAGTAACCTATGTGTTTACAGTTAACAACATCTTGCTTATGCTTCTTTCATGTTGCTATGTGGGTCACTATCGCTAAAAACTGCCTTCCTTTGGTTCTTCCCAAATCCTAACAACCCTTGTCATCTATAATACATTGAATTGTTTAGTAGGTTGATTTCCAACGACCCTTTTCCTCAAATTGATATAAGCACTGGATGAAAGAGAGTACTGAATTGATATGGGGGACAAGTATAGAACAATGCAGCTAATTAATTATTAACACTTAACAGTGCCATCAAATACAATTTCCTAAATCTGTGTTTATTCGAACATGGCTCTTTTTGCGGTATGATGTGTGTGTGTGTGTGTGTGTGGGGGGCGGGGGGGGGGGGGGGGTGCTTAAGAAGGATATGCTTACAATGGGTTTATCTATCTATGACTCTTTGTAGCTGGCCTCGTTTAGATTGACATTAAGTCTTAACTAAATTTACTTTTCATTCTCTCTATATAATGCAATGGTACAACAGAACTGCTTTCTGAGTTCTAAAGATAGAACTTCCACTTTTTGGAATGAATATGTTTCTTAAATGCACTGAAAGTCAAGGAAAATTCTTACTGAATTTAGCATTCTAGTTAGTCATATACTTTGCATAGTGATGGCAATTGGTCAAGGATGGCTACATCCACCACCAGACCCACCCTTACACTTTCTCCGCCCACTCCTATCCCTGCAGGCCGACCTGCAGCAGGTGGACTTTTTAGAAACCCATCCCCGGCCCAGCAGATGTGAGTACCCACTACAGATACCTATCACTTATTATCTTATTAACAAATTTTAAATAATAATAATAATAATAATATTTAAGTTATTTGCACATAATAAAATAATAAAATTCACTACTTATACTAAAACATAAAATTATAAAAATATTCAAATATAATAACTAAATTGTTAATATTTTTTTTTTTTCAAATAAACTTATTAGTTTAGAATTAAAAATAGTAAAAAACTTAATGACAATTATAAAAAAAAAAAGTTTTAGAATTAACTACATACTAGTATTTATTTTACTATTAATATATATATATATATATATATATATATATATATATATATATATATATTATGGTGGGTCGGGTTGGGTTCTATGTGGGTTTTGTATATAATTTTTTAAGACCCACCACTCGCTATCATACAAAAAACCCTATCCACGTCGGTGGATATCCACAAATGGATTGAAATTGTCATCCCTAACTTTGCATAACTCACAGATGATATTTAATGGTGCCTTTGCAGAACTTTTCGTGAATTTTTAAAGGACAATGCAATTATTTCTTTGTGATTAACTATATCCAGAAAAGTGCTTGATACAAAGAGGTAAAAATTCATCAACTTTCTTCTTGTTTGCCACCAGTTTTTGATCTTTAATAATTTTTGGTCATAGGGTAGCCCGAAAAGTTCTAGCTCAAACAGTAAAAGAGAGAGGACAGCCGAAATCCTTTGGAGTATCCAAGCAAACTGGAAGATACAGACAGTTAGCACTAATGACCCTGGTCAGCTTACCTGTTTAAGTATTTTACTGTTGTAAAATGGAAAAAAAAATCTTGTGGATATCCCTTTTCTTCAAGTTTTTCACCAACATTTCTCTATGAAGTTGTGCTAAAAATTTAATGAACATGTTAAAATTGTTGAAACCTTACTATTTCTCTTGTTTATTCTACAGTAGCTTGCAATTTATTGCTGTATGCCTGTATGACATTTGTTTTCTTGTTTGTTATGCTTACCTTCTATAAGGTGCTGATACACTATGTACCAAGCTGCTTGCTTCACTGCTGCTTCCACAGGACTCATTTATTAACCAGCAGTGGTGAAGAAAGCAAATCTATATATTATTTTCTCCTTTTCTTCTTGTCAACTATAACATTATTTTGTATATGCTGTTGTTTTTGCGTTGGGTTATACCTTGGTTACTGTTCTGGTGTAATTCTAGTTTCTGCTTGGATGTTCCTGCAGTTGAAATCACTTAACACCCTTGCATTGTTGGAGGTGGCAAAAGTGGAACTTCAGGAATCAAAGGTCAGTGTACTTTCTGTGACCTCTTATAGATATCCATTTTCTTCCTTTGGAATGTTAAGTGGATGCTCTTGTGATTATGTTATCAATTATGTGGAAGCTGTTCATTGAATCAGTTATGCCATTGCATTATCATGTTGGAGAATGGAGAACAACCTTTTGTATGCTACTGTCATATTGTTTCATAATCATTGTTAGTTGAAGATCCTGCCTATTTAAATATATGATTTGTCTTTGGTGTCTTCCAAATATAGGATTGATTGTTTACTTTTCAAGAGGTTGGTTCATGTTAAACTTCATCTGAATGCACATTTTTTATTTAACTCTAAGCATACCTGTTCTGCCTTCAGTTCCTTGGACGAACATCCATCCAACCAAAGAACTCTCCTTTTTCAGCTTTTATGTAAGTCTATCCTATGAAGTAGTCCATCCTCCAGCACCAAACTGATATGCACTCTGATGAAATTAGGTTTTACTTCTGTGGTTCCTTGCATTTTGTCTCCAATACAGATGAATATCAGTCCTTTATGCAACGTTACAACAAGGATAAGACTTATGATAGACCGTTTGTATTTCAATTCATTTTCTTGAAATCCAAGCTTGTCTTTGTATGTATTCTGATGGGCATTTTTTATTAGGAGCATTGTTTTCAAAATTCTAGAAACAAGATGCTCATAAAATGAGAAATAGGACCACCATTTTAGCTGTCATAGTTAATATTCCGATGTATTTTTCTTTCTTTGTCATCTCAAATAGGTGGATGGTCTTGTTGGTGAGGCTGAGAATGCTCTTCATCAATGCATTTCTGCTTTCAGGGAGGTATGCATAATTCATTTTTCAAAATCCTTGTTAACTTTGGATTTTAGTAGTATGACTACTCTAGGCTTTAGCAAAGGAAGAAAAGAACCTTTTCTATTTGCTCCAAGTCATTCCTAATGCCCAATCTTGCAAGTTGAATGAAACTTGACCGTAGATCTGAAACTCTTATGATTATAATGCTTTGTAGAACTGTTTGATGAAGACGGTATACAAGTTAGCTACGCAATACATAATAGACATACTATTTCATGATAGCAATGTTAACGATAGAAGTGTTTTTGGATGACTTAAGAACTTGTACTCATCTAGTTCTATATAGTGGTGAAATAATATCACCAGGAATGCCGTAGAGTCCATATAAATGTGAACCGATTTGGGTTTTTTGCAGTTTGAGACAGAGAAATCGTTGGCTGATATCCCTGAAGTAAAATCGGATTATCTTTCATGCCTGAAGCATCTGTTTGTTCTAATAAACAGCGGTGGCAAAAGCCTGACCGCTGATCAGTCCAGAAAAGCCGATTTACAGCAACTGAAAGCCGAAATTATCCGCATGGAAATGGAACTCTCAGCCAAAGGAGGACCCATAAGCTAAGTCTTTACAATATTTAATTTTAATTTTTAGACCATTCGAATAAATATATTTTATGAAATGACTAATAATGCATTCATTAACGAGCCGACAGTCTAAATAAATAGTTTTTATTTGTGGAATTATTATTATTATTATTATTATTATTATTATTATTTGTCCTTATAGTAGTTATACGTCACTTGATGTTGAATTGTTTGATCACATTCTTCTCATTAAAGACAACATGCGACTGTACGATTAAGCAATTCGGACATCGGCTACGTGCCGTGCAAAAGACTCGCGGGATTATTTAACACCTCCTTCGAGCCCTTCCCTTTCGGCCTTAATAAATTATTTTTATTTTTTATATCATGAATGTTAGAAAGGACAAAAATCTAAAAGGTGAAATCAATTTCGGATCAGAACGCTTGTGCAATGGCCCATTTAAAGATTCCAACTCCATATAGTAATAATTAGTATAATAAGACACTTGTACTGTATGTTTTATTATTATTTTTTTTGTTAGGTCAGTTACCATCACCAGCACAGGGGTTAGTATACTAGTATTGTACTACTGTCTTTTAACAACTGAGCATACCATTAGCCCTTTTCTCAGTTAGAGAATCACCCTTTCATGTGGTGTTTACGTTAAATACTAAAATTTTTAAGACGGCTTAAAGCAATTTTTTCAATTAGCTTTTTGAGAAAAGAAATTATATCAAACAGCTATCAGTTAACAGTTAATTTACTAAACACTTTTCTACCATCAGTTAATATTATTAACTAGTTAAATCCTCTAATTAATGCAATCAGTTAAAAGATACGCTAAATATTAACTAGTTAAACCATCTAATTAACGCAATTAGCTAAAAGCTATCAGTTAACAACTATTTACCAAACATGGCCATTAGCTACTCCGTATTTAATATAGTTTAAAGCTACAATAATTAATTCTTCGACCTTGTATTAGCAGATCGGGTTTCATAAGAGTAATTTTCATATAAGGTTAATATGATTTATGATGCAGATGCATCATTGTTTAGTATATAATAATATAATATATAAATATAAATGTACAATTCATCTATTTGCTTAACTTTTTAGTTGGGATAAAACATATTTTTTTAATTTGATATTCAAGTTTATTATATAGAGGTCAAGTAATCAACTTGCACACGTAACTACGTAAGAGGCATGTTGAATATATAATATATAGTTGTTCATCTATTTTCATTTATCAGTTTAGACTTTTTTTTTTTGAGACGTAAAAATGGCATTCAATTACCACTGAGTTTATTTAAAGCTGAGTTTTTCAACTATTGAGGCCAGAATATTTGTGATGGAGAGAGCGGCAAGCAGACCAAATTTCTTGACCCCATATTGCCACCCAACACAAGCCTTTCCAATGGCCCAGTGAAATAAATGGCCATTCAAGTCTGACATGATCACTAAAATGTAGGGAATCAATGATCTAACACTAGTACACTACCAACCCAACCTCTTCAATTCATTTCCATATTTTTCTCTCAAACAAACTAAAGTACTAAAAGGCGGTTCCTTTGACCCTTCTGGGCAATCTTCAAGAACAAGAAACATGGCGTCTTCTGCTCCTTTGAACTTGTCGGACAGAAGAAAAGGTAGGAGAAGAGCCAGCGCTGATGACGCGGCGGCTCTGGTGAAAGCGGCGGCGTGGGCATGGTATGAACATGGGTCAGGGTCGGAACGGCCGTTGCGTGAAATGGATTATCAGCTGGAAAGGACTGAAAAGATTATTCAGAGACCTTCCAGGTATAAGCTGGAAGCTATAAGGGAAGTAGAAGAAGGCAAAAGAATGGCGAATCATCATCAACGCTCAAGTTCGACGATTCCGATGATATTGTCGTCGTCCCCTACCCCACCTACCCACACTTATATCTCCACCCTTCTCGACAAGTACGAGATTCAGCGAATATCGCTGCAGCTGGACCGCTACATAGAAAACAGCCACGGTGACTACTGTTACGGCGTTCTCGGCAACGCTACTGATCGCCGGAGAGTGGCGTCGGTGTCGGAGAGTGGGACCAGCAGCGAAAGGAAGACCAAGAAGCCGCCGCCGCCGTCGTCGTTTAAGGGGTTTTGGCTGAGGCATGCAGCGGTGTGTGGGTCGAGCAGTACTGATGTGGTGGAAACTGGAAGCGTTGGCCGTTCATCACGGTGGCCGCCGAGAGGGAAGCGTGTTTTTCCGGCGGTGAAGACCGTCGGGTGTGGACCACGGCCATCTTGCATCTAGCGAAACTTGGCTACTAGCCTTTGTAAAATAGGGCGTCGTACGTTGGTAAGCGCGCAAAAAGTGTCACGTTGTTTCTTTATCGTACGGTGAATATAACCGTGTTCTACTGTATTTTCAAAATTTATCTCATTTTTACATGATGTAGCAAATAAATATTTGATATTTTTATCATATGGATTTCAGAAAAAATTTCTATATCAAAAATTTGTGAGAAAAATAGACATTAAGAATAAAAAATAAGAGTTCAAGTAGTATTTTTCATATATTACTGTCTAAGTTTGAGGTTGAAGTTTAAAAATATGTTAGAATGTATTCAAATATTTTCTGTAATAATTAAAGTAAATGATACTTATATTCAAATTTAATTGCATTTTTGCCTTCATTAGATTAGTGTTAAAGCATTGATGAAAATTTCTCAATTTTTAATTAATAAATATGAAGAATTATATATTTTCACCAATATAATCATTTTTAAAAATTATAATTATAATTACAATTGTTATTAGTTATATTTAAATTAAACATGTGAAAATTTAATTTAATTAATAATTATAATATTTTAATTCAAATAATATGTTATTAAAATTATATATTACATTGTATAATTTTTAAAAATTTAATAACAACATTAAATAAGAAAATTTGTAAAATAATAATAATAATAATAATTACAAGGCCGTTGCCCGTTGCATAGCAAGCCAATGACCCCAATTGGCGCCTAGCGGGCGCGTGTTGCCGTGTTGGTGGAGCCGTGAGTTTTTTTTTTTTTTTTTTGCAAAAACTTTGTTTTGTAGGATAAGTTTTTTCTCAAAACCCCACCTCCCATCATTTACCCCCCTTCCCTTCTATTTTTAGCTCCGCAAAACCCCACCAAAAAAAGTTAAGTTGCTCTTAGAAAAATTTCAAATATGCAAGATTGAGATTTGGGATAGAGCCTATATTGAATCGACAAAATTAATAACATGAACTTAAAATTAAGAAGTTCAAATTGAGTACACAGTTTAAAATAATAAGTGAATTTTATTACTAGATAATATTAATAATAAGTTTAAGAGACATATTTTTTTACACTTTTAGTAATGTTAACATAATATATATATATATATATATATATATATATATATATATATATATATATATATATTAATTTAACCATTTAGTTTGGATGAATTTGTATTCGGATGCAACCCCAACCAAATTGGTAGAGTTGTTGACTTAAAGTTTCAAGTTCAACTCTCAGTAGTAGTGAAAAATCTGCTGATGCAAACTCTCCTCAAGCTTAGAACTCGCTCTTATGTGGTAAATCATGTGCAACAGATTCAAAAAATTAAAGATGATAATGGTAATAATATTGACAATAATTTTAAAATCATACTTCACTTACTTAGTCACACCTTTCGAGATAGACAATATATATTTTTAAAAGTACAAATAGTCATATATATCTTCCGAAATATTATTATTATTATTATTATTATTATTATTCTAATATAATTGAGATATGATGATATGTTGAAAAGTCTTAAGTAAATTTCCGGCCTAAACAAATTAGTGTGGTACTATAAAAGTCCAAACAAAGCACTATAAACACTTGGAAGGACAAAAGCCATAAACTTAATCACTAGCTACGGTAATTAATTATTGTTTGACTAAATGCATTTAATTATTAATGGCTATAGATGCTAAGATAACGCTACACATTATTAACCACCATTTTTAATTTCTGCACACTCAATTTATGTGAAAATTGTTTATACATCATATTTCTCAATAGAAGACAATGCAACTGTCCAGTTTACCTAGATATATAGGTATGCTCCGATTGATCTGTAAGGATGCATGCATGTTAATTACATTTAATATTATTATTATTATTATTATTTTTTGAATAGTTATTACTTTAATACTCACTAAATTAAAATTAAAATTTTAGTGTTGTAATAGAAATTATTTTTGATATTGTAAATATGATTAATAATACTTGGGCTAAAGGCCTAAAAAATACAACTCCTATCACATAATTGGGCTTGCATAGTAATAATCCATGAAATAATATGTGGAGTTTTTTTAATTGCACGCAACTCCTTTACGTTTTATTATTTACACTCTCACCCCAGTAGTTTTTCGTGGAAGCTAAATTTGGCGATCTATTTCGTGGCACGACGCCGATCGCCGGAGATGAGCGCAGTGCGGCTGAACTTCCGAAGAGCACCTCCCCAACTCCACCAATCCTTCACCACCGCCGCCGCCGTTAAACCTTGGTTCGCCGCGCCTCCGCCGCCGCAAAAGCGCTACCAAAACGATCGTGTCGATCCGATCCTCACAACCCTTTCAGAAGCCATAGCCAACAAATCCTTCCAAGCTTCCCTCAAGAGCCTCCTCCCATCTCTTAAGCCCAGCCATATCGTAAACCTAATCAATACTAACCCTAGCTGTCTCTCCCCTTCCTCTCTCTACTCTTTCTTTACATGGCTCTCCTCTCACCCCTCCCTTTTCCGCCACACCCTCCACACCTACTGCGCCATGGCCCACTTCCTCTGCGCCCACAATATGCTCCCGCAGGCTCATGCTCTTCTCCGAACCGTTGTTTCCAGAAAAGGAAAGGACTCCGCTTCTGCGATTTTTGCCTCCATTCTTGATTCTAAAGGTACCCTAGATTCCACTCTTCGGCTTGCCAATTTCCTTATCATTGTTTATCTTGATTCCGGTTTTATTCCCGATGCAATTCAGTGTTTTCGGATTATTAAGAAGCATAGGTTACGCATTCCGTTTGAAGCTTTTTATCGAGTTATTGATCATGTGATGAAAATGAATCCACCGTTGGTAGCTTGGGGTGTTTATAAGGAGATTTTGGAATCCGGGTATCCTCCTTGTGTGTATTGTTTTAATATATTGATGCATAGACTATGTAAGGAAGGAGAAATGAAGGAAGCTCATTTGGTGTTTAATGACATTGGGAAATGGGGTTTAAAGCCTAGTGTTGTTAGCTTCAATACTTTGATTAATGGATATTGCAGGTTGGGTGATTTAGATGCAGGGTTTAGGTTAAAGAGTGTAATGGAGGACAATGGGGTCGTTCCTGATACTTATACATACAGTGCTCTGATCAATGGGCTCTGCAAGAAGTGCTCAATGGGTGTTGCAGATGACCTGTTTGAAGAAATGTGTGAGAGAGGTTTAGTTCCTAACGGTGTGATCTTCACAACATTGATTAATGGGCACTGCAAGGCCGGGAGGGTTGATCTAGCCATGGATTTCTATCAACGCATGCTCAGACAGGGCGTCAAACCTGATTTGATTACGTATAATACACTAGTCGATGGGCTTTCTAAGAGCGGGGACTTGATCGGAGCACATAAACTTGTCACTGAAATGAATGAAAAGGGTTTAAGGCCTGATAAAATTACATACACTGCACTTATCGATGGGTATTGCAAGGAGGGAGATTTGGATGCTGCATTTGAGGTCCGAAAAGGAATGGTTGAAAATGGAATAGTTCTTGATGGTGTGTCGTACACCTCCTTTATTACAGGTTTATGTCGGCAAGGGAGAGTATCGGTTGCAGAGAGGATGCTAAGAGAAATGTTGGGTGCTGGTATAAAACCCGACGATGCAACATATACCATGGTCATCGATGGCTTCTGCAAGAAGGGCGATGTTAAGATGGGTTTTAAGCTTCTGAGGGAGATGCAAAGTGACGGGCATGTGCCTGGAATTATAACCTACAACGTGCTTATGAATGGTCTATGCAAGCATGGTCAAATGAAGAATGCCGATATGCTCTTGCATGCTATGCTTAATCTAGGCGTTGTCCCAGATGACATAACGTATAACATTCTGTTGGAGGGACATTGCAAGCATGGAAAGTCTGGAAAGTCCAGGAATGTTGATAAGCTACGCAGTGAAATGGGGCTGGTTTTTGACTATGCGTCATATAGTTCACTAATTAGTAGCTTAAATAAAAGTTAAGACACCACGATGACGGACCATATGATGTGTTCGTGTAAATGGATCAAGTGATGGCTATACAAAATGAAGCTTGGTAAAGAAATACAGAGGACTGCAATAAAGCTACATAGTGAAAGGGCTTGTGTTATACTTCGGATTTGCACCTCCATAAAATCCTCGACGCCCTGCCCTGCCCCAGAGCGTGGTGAGTGGAACAGAAAACTGCAAGGTTCCAAAGTTAACTTCCCGTTTTATCGAGGATCTATTAGATGGTGTAAAGGCAGCTCAAGTAGTTTTGAGTTTGCTAACTCATTGAATTCGGGGTGAGGATCAGTGTAACAATGCCATACCTGGGTCTGCATGGCTGCATCCTTGCATTGTAAGGAACTGGGTAATCTGGCAATACATGTTCAAACTCCAAACAGAAGCTACATGATGTGATATGAGACTTAGAATGATGATATGGGAAAGTTTTGCCTATATTATAGAAGAGCAACTTTCTCAATATCATTTCAGAATCTGCAGATAGGAAAAGAGGCTATTAGTTGATATGCCTGCAGGCAGGCTGCAGCAAATCTGAACAATCATTATACCATGGACCATATGTACCATTGACATAAGGTTCATTATTAATATGCTGAATATTCAGTTTTAGTACATTGAATGTTTATTTTTTGTGTACTGAATGTTCATTTTTAGAATTTTAGGTAAACTACTAAAAAAGTGAACTTTCAGTACACTAAAAATGAAACATTCAATATACTAAAAATGAACATATTTATCTGTGGTTCATATCGCAATGTGGACCATTTTCCATAGTATAATTTGCAAAAGTTGATCAATGGTTATATCATGGACCTGGGCCCACCTTATATTGTGGACCATGCTCCAAAAATTATGTCTACATTTAATATATTATGTGTCTTCAGTTAACAAATTAAATGCACATAATATGTTAAATGCATATTATATGCTTGCAGTTGACATATTATGTGTCTATAGAATATATGGCTTGGATTTATGTACATGCACATAATCGGTTAGTTACAGACATATACTATATTAATTATAGACACATAATCTGAATGTTAACTTGGGTCAGGATCTACCATGAACCCTGGTCCATGGTACAATTTGCCAAAGTTTGATATGCTGGGGTGAGCAGCTTTTGCATGTAAATGATGATACAGTAAGTATATGTTCATCTGGCAATCTTTAGTTGCAGATTAGATTATTAAAGGGTTTTGCGATGCTATGTGATATTTTTGTAGGGTACTGTAAGTGCATATATAGCCTCATGGCCCTCATATAATCATTTTAATTTTTACTTACTCCGTAAAAAATATTAATGGTGGTCCAAGTTGTAAAGCTGAAAATGGGTGGTACATGTCTACAAGATTGAATAATGGAACCATTCCAATCTTGAAAATGAAAGTCACTTTGGACATTGGCACGGGTTTTAAGATTATGAATAATTGCTAGCTTTCATAATTAAATCATTATCTTCTTTAATACTATAAAATTATATCATGTATACTGCTTAGAGCATCCATATTTGTGGATTATTTGGAGATATTTTAGACATTAATTCTCCCCACTCAAGATAATAGTTAATGTGGGGAAGAATTATTTGAGAGATAATTCTCCTGCAAATGAAGGGAGATTTCAGACAATGGTGGGTCCCACCAAAAAATTAAAATAAACCATCACAGGTGACAGCCACGCGTGGCTGTCACCATAGTGCCTGACTAGCGCGTGCAGTGCACGCGCCAGTCAGGCGCGCCTGACATTTTTATTATTATTTTTTTTTTATTTTAAAAATTTAATTTCCCTTTTTTTTTTCCTTTTTTTCTCTCCCCACCCATCTTCTCTTTCCTAATCACTCTTACATTATCCCCCAATTCTCCCCAACAAATGTGGATGCTCTTAGGAGAATATGTAATTATTACTTTTTAGGATTATATTTTTCTTTTTCTATAGGGTATCCTATCAAAACTTTCTCCACTGCACTTTATGAATTACGGAGTCTTAATTATGTCTGAATTATAAACTCAAATTATGCAAATATTGATGCAGTGTATATTATCTAAGGAGTAATATTCAACGTTTCACAACAGTTATGTTAAAAGCAAAGAATAAAAAACCCCAATGAAGTTGCTTTAATATTTCATACCTTCATGGAGTACATTGTAAAAACATTATATTACATATAAAGATAAATGACATAAAGATAAAGTCAACTATTTAAATACAACTTATTATTATTAAATATTATTAAATTACATTTAAAAATCCATTAATTCCTTATCAGCTTGGAGTTTGGAAGTAGAAAAGCAGTAAGAACAAAGGCGTTGAGTTTGAAAAATGTGTACCTTTTGAAAGTTTTGCATTGGATCCAGCACAATAATTGATGTGGGGGCTGCTTGCCAATTGGCTGCTGCTGCTTGTCAATATTATGGATTATGACATTTTTCCAATTCAATTTTTTTTAAAAAAAAATATTAAATTTTGAACCTTATAAACCTGTGATCCAGACTCATGAAGACATAAACCGAGTCGGCTTAAAATCAAGTTGAGCCTCACACCAAACTATCTGTGGTGGAGTTCGATCCCCCACCCAGTCGCCTAGCTATTCATCTACTAGGCCACTACCTAAGGGCAATTCACCATTTTCTTCCTTGTGACAAAGAGGTGACCTGAAATCACCCATCCCAGGCGTCTCCACACCTGACCTAATAGGATTGTGGATGAATAAATCATAGTGATTCAATTGATCAACAGAGGCTAGATTTTAATTTGCTCACTGTGCATAAAGGAATCGCGCTCCCAGCCTCCCATGCCCTAAATTTTTTTCCTTGTATATATGGCTTTTGTCATCTTCCTTGAAAGTGATCTTAGGTTGTAGATACAATCATGCATTAAACTGTGTTGTTCCATTTGCAATACGGAGCTGAGTTTTTGAATTTGAAACTTGAAGAAATCAAATTTAGGTTATTGACAGATGTTTCTTGTGTTTTGTCTATACTGTTTGTCGTGTCAACTGTCAAGAATTAACACAGTGAAGAGATATGGTCAGATAGATTAGATAGCTAGCTAGCAAGTATATATATATCTACTTAATTAAACAATAATTTTGACATGTTTGTATTATATTATCTCTTTGAGCATACATAGTATTTCCCATGTTAATGTCATGAACAATTCAAGATTGGTTTAGTTATAAAACTTTAAATAATTGATAGGTTAACTTAAGCCAAGTAAATTTCTATCCATCGATGGTTTAGGGTTTAGCGACTGAATCTTTAAAAATTGACAATGAGGGACTAAATTATATAACGAGCAATATTTAAGGGACAAAAAGTATGATTTTCTCAACCCTAGCCTATTTCTACTTTTTCAATCATTGATGGTAGAAAATTGTAAATACCTCCAACAATCTTAGTTGACAAAAATTTTCTACAATTCGCATTCATTAGTAGTCAATGTAACACCAATAACTTTTAAAGGCTAGTCAGTAATAGCAACAAGAATTTTTACAGATCACTTAGTGATTGCAAAATTAACTAAAAAGCTATCTATTTCTTATCAAAAATTTCAAGATTTTGATTACTTTAGAGTTTTGAGTAATCGAAAAATACCATTATATTTTTTTTAACAGTAAAACATGCCATAACAATTATTTTACTGTTTTTCTGGGTAAACTAGCTAGATCTATGAGTACAAGATTGATAACTTCCTGATCCCACAAGAGTCCATGGATAGCTACATTTAGTATTTGCTACAGCTAACCATTTACTATACGTCAACATCGTGTATGTAAATGGTGTGGATGATCTTGGAAGTCATATTTATCTTTCTGGCGCCAACCTAGACCCAATTCACTAAACAATCATTTTGCTTTTTGCACTTTGTTCTTGTTAAAAGAAGCTCGTTTCTTGAATTGGTGCCCAATATATTCCTTTTCCAAACAGACATACTTTATTTGTCATGGAGTGTGTGTCCATATACATATATGTGTTCAAAACTTCAATTCAAATGTCTAGCATCTAACATAATATGAGTTTGGCCATGTTTAACTTCTTCAAGTCAGAAATATGCATTCAAAGTCTTAAAAGGAGTGACCAAGCTAAGTGGGTGTAGCTAGTATATATGGTTTTAATTTAATTTGTAGACAATTACTCCGAAGCCGAGGGTGTATATTGAGTAAATTTTGCTTTGTAACCATATATTATCTCACAAAGAACCACAAGAAGGTAAACTAATATATTTAGATTACCTATGACCACCAACAAGGCAAATAGGCCACTCATGCCGAGAGTCGAACTTATAACATTATAATTATCAATTAAAATAACAACTTAGATCAGTTTCCTCATTCTCCTTTCTTTCTTTCTTTTTTATATTTGGGTCGGACCAAATTTTTGCCATCCTATATGGAGTCTGAGTTAGAGATATAGGGATGTCAATCTTAGCTCTAAACCAACGGCTAGCCCAATAACCCTTGAAAATTGTAAGATTTGGACCGAAAAAATCAACCCAATAAAAAATCAAGTTAATTGGACTGGTCCTATAGGGTTATCGGATTGAGTCGGGCTAACCCAACGGCCTATCGGGCCCAACCATTGGATTATGTGTGTGTGTGTGTATACACACACACACGTATTGTTTATATATACATACACATTAAACATAATTTTATCAACATTATCCCGTTCTAACTCATCGACGTGGTAGGTTGGATTTTTTTTTTTAGAACTCATCTCGCTCCACTGGATTTGGATACATATTCTTATTTTTTAATTTTTGTTTAGTGATTTAGCCTGCTGGATTAGCCTAATAACCCGCAATTTAGGGTTAGGGCAAAAAGAAAAAAACAAAAAATTGTTTAGCCCAAACCGATAAACCTAACAACCTGCGTGGCTAGTTCAAAATTCAGCGAGTTGCCCTAGTTGACATCCCTAGTTAGAGATATGAAACACACTACTATACAAAGTAAGATAGCATATTTATGGTGATGTGAATGCATCTTAATTATAGTGGGCAATAGTCAACAGTGTAAAAGGTAGAAGGATAACAACAAGTCGAGGTGGGGGGTGGATGAAAGCATGCATGCATATAATGTGAATATATGTTATTTTACAGCTAAGAAGTTTCTCATAGTCCACCTAGTGATGAATGAATAGTCATTTCATGATACTTTTTTCAAGCTAAGGTTGTTGGCACATATAATAAACAAATTAAAGTTTAAAGTTATGGCAACTGGCTGAAGCTAAGTGAGCTACAATCAACCCAAACACTTACAAGGAAAGACAAGACACACACCACGAGGTTTATATATAAGCCAAATTTCTACTACATACTGCCTTCCACTGCACCCAAGGGCGGCGTTGTATCTTTTTCACTTTGGACTTTCATTCTCTTTGTTACATGTAATAATTATTAACTTAATCACCTCTTTAAATTCACAAGTTGCCCCGTTAAGAATATGAATAATAAATGTAGTGCAATTTAACTAGTAATAAACTCCACTTATATTTAATAGTTGCATACCAACATGATAAATATTATATACGATGGGTTCGATTGAGATGGTATTTACAAGAATCAAATCTGTAATTTTTTTGGTACGAGAATCATACTTCACACATTCAATTGCTCCTTTTGAGATAGGAATATAATTTTTGTTTATAGAGATGTTTAGTTTTTCTAATTGATTAAATATTTTGTTGGGCGGAGACCTGTGAAGGGGTAAGTCCAGCACCATGCCTCTCAAAAATGTGACGGTTTGAAATAAAGTTGCGTCTTAATCGTAAGTTATAACTTTTGGCATAAGTGGTAATAGGAAAAATTGTAGTTAAGAATTGTGATGGATATATTAGAAACGGACTCGAGGCAAACCGACTCGAATAATAAATACGATCCGGGATGCTTGGGGCGACTTTGGTCAAGGTTGACCTCGGCTAAGGTTGACCACGGCTAGGTTGACCTCAACCTCGGCTGGGATCGACCTCGGGTTGGGGTCGGCCTTAGCTGGCCGGGGGCAGCCACGACCCGGGAGGGGGGGGGGGGCTGTGGTGAATGGCGGCCTCGGTTGAGGTGGCATCGGCCTCAGGCGTGTTCGCGCGGACTCGGTCAAAGTAAATCTAACCGCCCACCTTATTCTCATGGGACAGTTGGAGGAGGCTTTGTTATAAAAACATCCCTTGTTGTCTTAAGGAGACACCTGATTCCTATGTCTGAATATTACATTTCCTTGTAATTCTCCTACAAACGGTTATCAATACAAAAGTTGTCTCCGTGACCTATATTCTTTGTCTTTTCCCATTTTACTATTTATCATTTATTATCGGGTTTAGTAATTCGGGCTACCCTGAGTTAATTAAATCCATCAAATTGAATGACAGGGGGAGGGGGAATTGTAGTTAAGAATGCCAAGTGGAGGGAGAAATATTGGATGAAGGCCGGTGAAAGGCAAGTACAACAATTGGTGGTTAGGGGACTGTGTGGCAGCCTATAAGGAAATAAATGGTCAAGTCCAACAATTAGTATAGCTAGAAAAATTGTACAATGATCTATAAGGAAATTAAGTTGCGCTTGATCTTAATATATTTCAATATTAAAGTATTGTGAATTGTAATTAGTACCTAAAAAAATTGTAATTGATATATTACGTACGTAAATTCGAATATTTATCTTATGCTATGGATTTGACATTTTGCTTTTATTATGCTTTGTGCCTTGTTGTGTTGTTTTCAGTCACGTTTCAATCCAGTCTGGAAAATGAAATAGGGATAAATCATAGGAGTATATATTTGTCGTCAAAGTGACCAAGTAAAGAGAAAGGGAGATACGTAAAAAGACTATTAAAAAAATATATTGGAGAGAAAGAAAGATATATTCAATCTCAATTGATAGTTGTAATATACATTTATTATTTATATTAATCATCATATTCTACATGCGCAAAAGTAAATATTCAATGTAAAAAATGATTATATTAAAATAATTCAAAAAATAATAAATAAATGACACAAGTCATATAATCTATATTATATTTATCTACAAGTATTTAAAATAGTTTAGATAAAATATTGTATATAGTTTATTCATTTGTGATAAATTTGATAATTTTGATCAAGTTTATTTGTACGTGTTGATTAGTTATATATTATAATGGGTAAATATGTAAATGAACTTTATATTAACATATATTTGGATTAATATAGTATTCAAAATTAGGTAATTTTTTGGTAAGTAATGTATTCAAGTTAAATATATTTAATTAACGGAATATTTAACGGTGGAAGAAGTCAGAAGATGGCAAGTAAGGTTCAGGAAGTTGGAGTTGATCAGAACTATCCTCTGTGATCAGGATGTTGCGGCTGATCGCCTTGCTTCCATTGGAATTTAGTAATTAATATTTAATTAACGAGTTAGGCTTGTTTGCCTGGTTTCCCCCATCACTGCTGGAAATCTCGCGTTTTCCGTCCAACATTTGTTGGACGGAAAACGCGATATATTGGTCGGAAACGACGTTTCCGTCCAACATACCGACCAAAAGGAACGTTCGGAAAAACTTCCGTGGAAAATTCCGTCCAACTATGATTTTTGGTCGGAAATAGCGTTGAACGAACAAAAATTGGACGGAAAATTCGGCAAGTATCCCACCATTTTTAAAACGTGAGAATTTCCGTCCAACCATGTGCGTTGGTCGAAAATTCCGTCCAACTACGTGCATTGGTCGGAAATTCCGACCAATGTTGGACGAAAAACTCACATATTATATTTTGTAATTTTCCTTCCAACCGTTGGTAGGAAAATCTTAAATCATATGGAATGTTTTTATTATTTTTATATTACCAAAATTTTATTTATATATGTTGTAAATAAATTATATGTCATCAACAAATTCATGGACACACTAAATTGAAAATTGAAAATATATTTAAACATCAAAATTCTTTACAACAAAAATTATGGTCATGTTCATTAAAAATAAAAAGGTCATGAAAATATATACTACTCAATTGATACTACTTAAGTATGTTGCACCCAAATAAGCCTTCAAATCCGGCACTACTTCAATGGCTTTTCTCTCTTGCAACTGCAAATGATCCAGCAGCAACAAAATCATCATAAGCAACCTGAGATAAACATTTCATCAATTAAACTTGAAATGCACCACCATCCATCAAAAGCACCCATACATGTTAGGGATAAATAAATTGGGATCTCAACTTTAATTCTTAACAGACTGAAAAATGTTACAAAAGCTAGGCAGGGAAGAGCAAGACCATATATAATATGTAATAGTCCATTCTATCTACTCAAGTACTTACAGCTCAATAATGTAACAAGTCACTACTCACCTGGGCATCAACGTTAGCATCATATCCCTGCAACAAATTAAGCTGCAGCCTCCAATATATCTTGATCCAGGGAGTAAGTAGCCATTGCCTCCAATAAGTGCAGAAATTGCCTACAAGTAAAACAAGGTGAAGTACCGTCACTTGATGAGAAGATTTACAACTCCATCCCCACTCCGATCCATATCCATCCATGAGAAATCGTGGGAATAGGAAGAGAGAAATCCACCTCTCGGCACTAAAATCATAGTGAATTATTATCATAAACTCTATCATAGCTTGAGCATCATCAAGCAGCTTGCATTTCATTTAGCCAGTGGCAGCAGTGCAATAAATATATCAGATGCCTGTCTCACTACACATAGTTGGTTTTACTTTAGTTGGCTTATTACTGACAGTAAATAGCTTGATCTATATGGGGCAGAATTGGTTTAATTTCAGTCCCAAGTTCTTGCTCAATTTTATACCTATCCATACGACAAGTATGAACAAGGAATGATTAGCACATTATTAGTCTCTCTATCCTTGAAAATGAATTAAAAATCAATTATATAATAGTAAACTACAAATCCTACAACTCTGCAAGGATGAATTTAATATACCCTGTGCAGATAAGTTTCTGAGTTCTTAGGAAATCAAAATTAATCACAACATTGAAAGCTTGAATGTCTATTCCTCTTGTGAATAAATCTGCAAATAAAAAATAGCTTTGAGATTCAAGTATCACCTATGCAACAAGGAACATATTTCCATATAGAGAACCACAGGAAAAGGCATACCAGTACAAACAAGATTCCTGCAGAAACCATTGCAAAAGTCATGAAAGACGTTAAATGGGGAAACAGAAGGGCTCAACATCCGCCTATTATATCATTGAAAGTTAGTTACTTGTAGAAATAAAAACCTTGAATGAGATTGTTGTCTGGATCAATTTTTTCTAGTGCAGCAATACAGAAGGCAAATGTTTTGCCAGTTCCATTTTAAACTCTAGCAAGAATATCACTCCGAGATGGTATTACTTCATCAGAAAAAAATAATCATATCTTACTTGAATTACTTCATCAAGAAGATTAACTTCCAAAACTCTAGCTCCAATTCCCTGGATCTTGTGTGGACCTTATGAATTAAATCAAAATCAAATGTCTAAGTTCACTTCAAAATAAAATTAAGATCTTGAATTCTCAAGAACAAAGTTATTGAACAAAAATATCCACATGCATACTGGAAAAATTAAAGATACCAAACAGAGGCCTCTGGAAACTTCTAATTTATAATCAGTTATAGCCTGTGCTCTTTAAGTTCATAGATTCTTCAGCTTGCATTCGCTTTAAAATGTTAGCAACACAAACAAATGCTTTCCCTTTGGCCCTCACATTTGGTATGCCACTGCAGTCAAATGAATAAAATAAAAAAAAATAAAAAGGAAAGTGAATAAAACCCTTTGGCCCTAAGCTGATTGCATATTCAAATCAACAGCAAGAACAGGTGATTAAGTTAATAAGTTTATCATCCATGGCCCTCCGTTCGCTATTCCCTGAGATATCCATTTCTAATAAAGGAGAAACCAGAAAATCCAATTGTAAAAGAATAGTTTACAATATTTGTTTTAGTTTTCTTTTCATAACCCAAATTCACATCTCTTGTGCGTATATCCTTCTATAATACTTAGCAAACTATATAAACATGATAACAACTGTATAATGGGCTATTCAAACCATATAGCCTCAGTATAAACACAAAATTTGAAAATCAATTTCTTTGCCTTTCGGCTGTACAAATATATATGTTGTCTATAACAATGATTATCATCACTAATCAATACTTAACCCTAATCAAATGATAACAATAATAATAAAGAAAAACCTAAGTGTATACTGTAGACTAGAAATTACCGGCTGTGCTGCGAAGGGGAAAGCGCCGGAGGTGGCGATGGCTGCTTGCGACGAACGAACAAAGCTGTGTGGAAAACTGGGCAACTGACGATGGAGGTCTGGAGGTGGCGATGGCGGTCTTGAGGCGGCGATGGCGGTCTTGAGGCGGCGATGGCGGTCTTGAGGCGGAGACGGCGGCTTGCGAGTTGCTACGATTTGAAGGAAGAGGAATGACTAGGTCTGTGCATATGCGGCTTAGGAAAAGAACTAATGTTTTAGGGATTTAGGAGAGGTTGAAAAAGAAGAGAGCGGAAGATGCGTAGGTTGTAAAGTTGTATGTACCAAGAAGGCGCCCAAGAGCAAAATTTTGGTGGGAATTTAAAATTCTTACCATTTTTAATTTATACCTATTAGTCAATTTGAGTTTACCAACCAACACTACAGGTTGGACAGAATTTCCTTCCAACATTGGATGTTGAACGGAATTTCCGTCCAACGCGCGAATGTTGGACGGAACTTCCGACCAACTTTCCGTCCATCCTTCTTTTGCGATTGAAAGTTGAAGTTTTTATTAAAATACCGACCAACTTACGGTTGGACGGAAATGTTGGACGGAAATAGCGAGATTTCCAGCAGTGCATCCCCCCGATCTAAAAAAAAAAAAGATAATTTGGTCCAAAAAAGATTAAAGTACAACATCTTTAACAAGCATTCTCACACATGTAGATATATAATCTCTTTATTCGTGATAATTCAAACTTATGACATGAATTTTGTTTCAACTAAAAGCTGAATTGATAATCGGACTATACACATACATACACACAATCGCGCACACATAATGAAGAATAATTTTGGTCGAATAATTGGAATATATTATATATTCGTTGTATCCATGGAGTAAAAAAGTGGGATATTAGTAAGTTAAATAGTCAGGTGAATGTGGATGAAACAAATGAAAATGGAGACACTTTATAGTGAGACGGGAGAAAGGAGTTGTCTTCCGGATAGCATGCAATTCAATTGCCCAGCCATGGCGTGGACCACAATATTGTATCTCATTTTATCTTTAATTCCATGAGTTAAATTATGTTTGAGTTTTTAAAATAAGATCAAACACGCTTAAAAAAACTCTTATATGTATTGTTTTTTTTTTTTTTTTTTTTTTTTTTTTTAACATTCAATATCAACATGTAATTGTCATTTATATATATCATTGCTATTGGTCTAGTTCTAGTTCCAATCACATTATTTTGATTTCAAGTTCAACTAGAACTTGTGATGTATAGATTAACAAATGATAATTCTCTTGAATATAATTTTCAATTCAAGAATCTATTTAAAATAAATTGTTATAAGCATTATATATATTATATAAAACTTAATTGAATATAATGTGGTTTATATTTTTGGTATTTTTATTCTGATTTTATGTAAAAAAAAAAAAAAACAAATTATATTTAACCTAACTTATTGATGAATTATAAGGCAATTCAATTTCATGAACTAATCCAATAACCTAAATAGTAGGTCCAATCTCATAGTTCCAACTTCCAACGATCAGTTTTATAGAGATTTAGCTCGACTCTTGTTGATCAAGAAATTTCTTAGTCAGCTTAACTTGGTTTACAAGAATTAGCCAATATGCACTTACAATACTAAGCTAACTTGGATGGTCGGGAAATTTCTTGAATGTCTTAATTTGCTTGATAAAAAATAAATAAATTAACACAGTGTCAGTTCCGATTATGTCTGGCCAGTGCGATCGCACAGGACCCTCAATTTTTGAGGGTCCAATATTTTTAAATATATATATATATATATATATATATATATATATATATATATATTAGACAAAATCTATTATTTTTTATACTTGATAATTTTTTTTTTTTTTGAATTCATATATTGGTCTTAAATAATAATTAGATTGGACCAATCAAATTAAAGCCAACATGAATATTTCAACACAAAAAATTAAGAAGCGTTACAATGACTAGGACTAGGACGATACGACTAGTCTGCCAAAAGTCTAGAAGTGGCATCCACTAAACACAATTGAATCATTGAATGGACCGACCACGGCATTTCTACTACCTTAGTGCTGCATGTTAGGTTTACTCTTTCCATAGAGTCATACATTTCAATTGTTGCCTACATACACAGCTCAGTTAGTTACAGAATAAAATTTAGAAATAATAATTTGGGATCAAGTCTTATTAGCGATAGTGCATATGGGAGTAACCTCTCAAAATGAGGGGATTTCTTGTGCTCAGTAAATAAAAGTCTAGCTTCTGTGCTCAACTGAGTTACTATGATTTACATCCTGCCAAATGTTTTGTCGGGCCGGGACGTGAGGAACCCTTGAGTCCACTTGAATTTGATTTTATTTTAAATTTTCAAACTAGTAAAGGACAATTTGGTCATTTTGTAAAATTTTTAAAATTCCTCTCCCTTTGTCTTCATATATATGCTATTCTTATTCAAAACCTTCACTAAATATTGTCTTGATTGAGGAGGATCTGAGAAGCAAAAATGAGAAGCATGAGATTACCTTATAATTGAAGATACACCGAAATGTAAATTAATACGTTAGTTTATTACAATTTTTCTATTTGTTTTATGCAAACTACTCTTTTTGATATCATATTGAGTTCATACCTTAATGTGTAATAATGTATGTAATTTAATGATTTTAATATACTAATTGATTGTGTGCAAATGTTTATACAAAAGGTGAATGCAGTGAATTATTATTATTTTAATATAAACAATATTTGCCAAACACTTTTTGTTCAATTAACACCTTTGTTACTTTTCTTAAAAAAAGATCATAGAGTTGTATAACTAATGGACTAAAAACATTATTTTCTCTTAAATTTATATTATTTTTTTAAAAAAAAAACTCTATTCATAATTAGGTTTATAATATTAATGAAAGATAATAAATTTTGCAACTTATCTCTATAGTATAAGATTTAATGATGAATAAAAAAATGTTGGCAGGGCACGTTATAATGCCAGACCCTCTACATATACATATATCACGAGTACAACATATTTATACAATCACACCATATGTACCGCAAAAGAACATCCTATTTTTTCTCAAAGAAGAAATAAAATTAAAAAAATAATAATAATAATAAAATAAGCTTAGTTTTAACTCTACACAGCCTTGCTACAATCGGCTTTTCCGAAGCCAATTCTGCGTCTGATCAAGTCAAACTCCACCCAGAGATTTTGCTGATGGAAGTTTCCGATGATGTTGCTCGCCACTCCGAGCGATTCCGACCGTCCGATGCCCAGACAATGGACCCCACCTTCGACGTTGTCGGATATCCTGTCTCTGTTGACCACGAGGTCCACCCTGTTTTCGAATTCGAAAGCCATGTCGCCTATCAGCCGTCCGATCTCCGTCGGGTTGCCGTCGAAGCACATGTCCAGGGCTCCGGCGTAGACGTAGTCCTTCTTCAGTTTGGAGCCGGCGAGGCGGACGACTTCTTCCCGGACCTTGTTGTACGCCTCGTCCACTAGGAACGTGTACTGCGTGCCGGAATCGATAATGGTCTGGCCGGACCCGCCGGCGTCCGGCCGGAAAACGGCCGCCGAGATGTTGAGTTTTTTCCCGCCAATTTTGATCCCGGTGAACCCGACGGTGTAGGCTAGGGGGTCGAGGTTGGGGGAGCGGCGTTGGGTTAGGGAGAAAGTGAGGAGATTGATGTATTGGAAGGTGGGGGAATTGGGATTCCGGCCGAGGTAGAATGCTCCGGTGGGATTTATTCCCCGGCCGGGTTGCCGGACGGGGACGCAGTAAGAGAATTTTTGTATCTTCGCCTGGGAGGCAAACGATAACCTCCCGGTGTTCATGCCCAAAATGCCCTGCGCCTCCGCGGATTCCGCCGCGCATCCAAGAACCAGGGGAGGGGTGGTTTGGGAATTGGGGAACGAGAACTTCTCTCTGACCAAATTGCCCTCCGCTAAGGTCCCATCCGCGTAGAAATACGAGTAATGGCAGAGGCGGTTCTGGTCACAAGTGGTGGGAAGGGTAAAATCGGGAATTCTGGGCTTGCACATCGGGTGGCTGCAAGGAAGAACAGAGAAAGACGACGACAGAGACGGGTCAAACGCCGCCGTGGGCGGCGGCTTCCGGGGAACTTTCTTGTTGCACTGAATCCACGACAGCTGGCTCCCGGTGTCCAACACCATCTGTTGATTCTGCGGCGGCGTCCCGATGGGGAGAGTGACCACCAGCGCCATCGAATACTTAAAACTCGACTTATAATTCAAAGACCGCGTCCCCGCCGCCGACCCTCGGGGGACCAGTCGTTTACCCATCAGAGACGACGCAAAAACCTTCCGCGCAGAAGAGCCGCCGCGCGCGATAGGAACGGAAGTGAGAGGGAACGAAGCAGAAAAAGACCCGCTCTTTCCATGAGCCGCAAAACTTGAAAGGAAATTCAAGAAGAAGAGAGATAGAAGCAAGAAAGAGGCAAAGGAAGCCATGGGAGATGCAGAGAGAGAGAGAGAGAGAGAGAGAGAGAAAGTAGGTAGGGTTTTATCACAGGCAATATTAGGGCGAACCCAAGAAGAAGCTATGGAGAGTGAGGTAGGGGAGAAGATAGAAGCTTAGTATTTATATGAGTTTGAATGGAAGAAAGATCGAGAAGAAAATAAAGCAACGCGGTTTCGTTGTAATGGGGATGTATGTATAATGTATGTATGTAATGATCACCGTTACCTACTTAATGTCATGCAGTTTATTAAGAATTGCATTCCAAACCACTATCCTAAGTCTCGGGGATTGGACGGTAGTCTCTAATTTGACCAGCATGAGAGGGAGTTCGAACTTCCAACCTCTTAGAGACAAGAGTATACGACCACAACAAAGTAAATCACGGTAAATCAATGGCTTAATAGCGGTGTTACAAAAATCACACCTAAGCGCTAGGCGGTCGGTCTCCTAGGCGTTCTAGGCACCCGCCTAGGTGGTCCCCAGGTGCCTAGCGATTTTTTCAACATTGCTCAGCAGACATGACACGACAAGAGATTTGCCTACTTTGAACATAATCTCTACACTGTCGATACTAACTTTTAAACCTTGATTTCTTCTTGCAAATACTATCTACTGAATCAGTGAGCTAAGCTTGTACGGACAGAATCACATTAATCTTGAAATGTTAGTGGAGGGGAATTGTCAAAGCTTATTTCAATTATTTACAATTTCTCCAAAGTGCTGATATTTATAATATGACCAATTCCATAGAAATTTGAAATTTTGCGCCCACACCCCAATTATTGTGGGCAAAGATATTAATGTGATGCAGTTAATTAAGCCAGCAAAGTTTTGTGTACTTGTAAGGTTTGTTTTGCGTGTGGTCCTCCAAATTTGAATTTCTTTTACTTTTTCAGCTTAGTTTAACTTATACCAAATTTGTTTGTACTCTGTCCTTGATGGCTTCATTAATCTTCTCCGCTACAAATATATATTATTATATATATATTATTATATTTTCCTGGTTAAAAATGGTGGTACAATAAATTAGCTGTTAGTAATTGACACTACGGAGTAGCTAATTTGATGAATCCAAGAAATGAGACAAAGGAAGGTGCGGCGTGTACATTTTTCCTTAAATTGTCCCTTTCTTGATGCCCTTTATTACAATCTCAATCTCCATCTTTCCCTACAATACTTGTCAACCCAACAATTACAACTTGTTTACTTAATTCAAATTATAATTATATTTGCCAATGACTTTGTAGTCCTATGACACGAAGTGGTTCTCCATAATGTGAAGTCATAGGTTCGAGCCCCATGCATTGAAGTGATATTAACTTTCTATACTTCAGTATAACAGAGTCAATCTAATGACGGGGACCTGAATTTCTTTCAGTTTTACTACAAACAATCAATACTTACTTTAATTTTTATAAGTATCGAGGACAAATCGAAATGGGGCGTCGCCAAGTGGTAAGGCAACGAGTTTTGGTCCCGCCATTCGGAGGTGATTGATTTCCTTAAAGGAGGTGGTTTTGAAGCTGCTAAGCACAAAAAACACGTTAATTACTTTCCAAGATCACAAGGTAAGAAAAGCTAATTAAGATGCTTGGCAGCATGCCATTTTTATACCTATCCTTGAAGCTTTCTTCATTTCTTTTTCTTTATTTTTTTGGGGTAATAAATTATGGATTATTTAAAATAATTGAAATAATTTATTTGAACTTTAGTCATTTCTTTACAATTCTAAAGAAATGATGCAAGAAAAGCTATGGTTCTGGTACGCTCACCTACTCGAGCACTGGAATCTTCTATACACAAATGTATGAAATGGAGTTATGATTGTTCAACAAAGGGGGATCCATTCCCTTCAAACTTGCCCTTTTAGCTGGCTTTTACTTTTACTTTCCTATTAATAAAACACAATTACTATATATCAAAACATGCATATATATCTATGGTCGTCTTCTTCAATGACCTATAGACCGACACTGGTTGCTAGTTGTGAATTTTACGCGTTAAAATTTTAATAACGAGCTATTATATGTGAATAGTTAATAATTAGTTCCACATACATAAAAATCATATGTTGATATGGAAAAAATTGACATATATATATATATATATATATATATATATATATATATATATATATATATATATATAATATGTGGCATACACCCACACTCTTTTTTTTTTTTTTTTTTTTTAGTTAGCCGTTTAGACATTAGACGCTACGCTACCACCAGATTAGCGTTTATTGTAACCATAATTATTACTTTTAAAAATTTTAAAATTTAATTGATTTTTTGTTTAAAGTTCAGAACTTCATAATATTTTTTAATAGGAGTGGGGGACTGGGGTGCACTCACTTTGAAAGGAAAAAAAAAAAAGTTAATTAACTCAAATTTTGATCGATGAGTGTTTTTGGGTACTTAGCTTCTAACACGCACATAGGCCAGGCCATATGTGATATGTCTATTTTCATAATTTGATCGGCGGTAATCCTAGTTGTGGGACAGAAAATGTGGTGGGTCCCCCTGCACCTAAATCATACAATATGTTACTAGTAATAATTTTATAGGAGATGTTGGTGCACATAATATGTCACTAAATATCATATTCCATTTCCTAATTAGTTAAGGGAAATAAAAATTAAAAGAAGCTCCCACATGGTCCATTCTCGTTAGCTTGATCTTTTGCAGACACTGATAATCTCTTCCCATCCCATTTAAATGCCTCCAAATCTAATCAAATATTTGATTTGGATAGGATGAACAAAGAACATAAAACGATTTCCTATATTATATTATATTATATATATATATATATATATATATATATATATATACTTTTGTTCAAATACGGTTGTGCCATCCCATGCGGTCGCTTGACAAAATACACCAACAGTGTTAACAAAAGGTCCCAATAGTATTAGAAAAAAACACAATAATGAAATGTACAAATACACCAAAAAACACATAATATATCCCAAAAAATGCATCATATAACTCTCCATCCCCTAATGGTGTATTTCTGAACACTGTGTGGTGCTTTTATTTATACCTAATGATGCGTTTTTTGTGATGCATACCTAATTTGTGCATTTCCTAACATGGATGGTGTATATTTGTATAACTATTGGTGCGGCCGCTTGACAAAATACACCAACAGTGTTAACAAAAGGCACCAATAGTGTTAGGAAAAAACACAATAATATAATGAAATTCACAAATACACCAAAAAACACATAGCACACCCAAAAAATTGCACCATATAACTCTCCACCCCTAATGGTGTATTTCCGTACACTGTGTGGTGCTTTTATTCATACCATATGGTGTGTTTTTTGTGATGCATACTTAATTTGTGCATGTTTTTTGTTGTGCATTTCTTAACATGGATGATGTATATTTGTATAACTATTGGTGCTGCCACACCTGAACTCGCCTCTCTCTCTCTCTCTCTCTCTCTCTCTATATATATATATATATATATATATATATATATATATTCAAATTAATACAATTTCTTAATATAATTTTTTATTCTTGTCTTGAAGTATGCCAAAAATTAATACACAGAACACGCTGAATATTTAATATTTTACAACAAATTATAATAATTAAATGAAATAAGACATTAATTCCAAATATTCACCAGGACTATGTGGTCTAATGGTATCCAGATTGGACTTCCTTTTGGAAGGTTGTGTGTTTGAGCCTCAGTGGAGGCGTTATTGGTTCTTTGTGTTTGGTTCTTTGTGTTTCAGTAGGTTGAGAAAGTTCCAAATATTTGGGATTATACAATATAATTTTCTTGTCTCAAAGTATGATGAGAAGCAATATAATATAATAACCTAGTAAGTAATGCATGGGCACTAAGCATTAGCATTCCCATCTAATAGGTTGCTAAGTCGTCATGATTTATCTATTCACTATTTTGTCGAGTCCGGAGATGAGGAAATTTCTCATTTAGGGTCATATCGGAATTAATTGTATTTGAATTTTTTGGTACATTCAAACTTGAAGAAGAAGCTATGTGCATTAATGGTTTGTGCTAGCTCATACCCATGATTTCACAAGAAAACCTTGTAGGTGAATTAATTATGTTGAATTTGATAAGTAGCAATAATTTTTTCCAACTGCAATCGTGTCTTGGTGTCCAAAAACTATCAGTGGTTTTTAGAGGTACATGGTACAACTATATCCCATTTTCACAACATCTAGTAACCTACTTTTACCAAATATATTATTTAGGAGAAAATACTATATCGAGTGTTATTTTTTACTCTTAATTTCTACTCTTAGTTTTAAGTTTGAGTTAATACCCAAAATCGTCCTCGACTATAGTGGTTTTTCTTAATTTCGTCCTAAACGACTTTGGTGATCTAATATCGTCCCAGACTTTTGTGTTTCGCTCAATTTAGTCCCAGACTTTTGGTGTTTTTGCTCAATTTAGTCCCTCATTTGTTATTATGTCCATTTGGTGTTAAATAAATAAACAATTTAGTAATTTTAATATTGGCATCTCTTTACTCATAGACATGTGAACTGCGAAATCCTTTTTTTTTTTTTTTTTTTACGAATTACTCCCAGAATTACTCCTAAAATTGCGAATATAAAATTTGATTTGCAGGTCCGGGAGTAATTCTGGTGTAATTCGTACAAGAAAGAGGAATTTCGCACTTCACAAGTTGAAAGTAAAGAGAGATCAATATTGACATTACTGAATTGTCCCTTAATTTAACACCAATTTGACGGAATAACAAATGGAGGACTAAATTGAGCGAAACACAAAAGTCTGGGACGATATTAGGTCACCAAAGTCGTTTAGGACGAAATTGAGAAAAACCACTATAGTCGAGGACGATTTTGGGTATTAACTCTTTTAAATTTTTATTGTAGACATTGTTTTTGGGACCAACGTGATGTGAATTGTATATCCTTGTTTGACAGATTAGAAAGATTAAGTGAGAGCAGAATTTGAGAATATATATAGTAGAACTCTACATGAGAAACCTGTAATCATTAGAAAGATCTCACTAGAAAGATTCTATACGACAAACTCGACTGAGAGGGTGTTGATGACAATAATTGAACTTCTGACTTTCTAATATAAAAATCATGGCACATCCACTCAACCACCCCTTTCGCGACTCTACTATACATATATATTATTTGATTTTCTTAAGATGTCAATAAGTATCCATACCTTTTATACGGGATATATTCATACTTATATGTCTGCTGTACCAAATATTGACTCAACATCATAAATTTGTTGAGCGTATAAGATCTTATATTCCTTATATTATGAGATTGATATGAATTCGACTAACCTAGAGTTCTTTATCCTAGTGTGCACATATATATAAGAGTCAATGTAACTATACAACTTTATAGTTGTATTAACAATCTATTCACACTGTAAAAATTTAAATATTATTTTTCATAGTGTATATCGAGTATATTTCAAAATTAATTTCCTTGTTGACAATTTAAAAAAAAAAAAAAAAAATATTCTCTCCAATTAGTATTTTAAGACCTCGATAAAATTAAGAACCAACAAAGATTTGCGAGCTTACCTACTACATCGTGTATTCATATTTGGGTGTGGATGACAGCACAAGCTTTATAAATTTTAAAATGATGAGAAAAATATAGAAGTATTTTATATTATTTAAGTTTGGCACAAAGCTAAATAAGACCAATTGGGGCAGGGAATTCAAACTTTAAATTAAAGAAAAAGCTACCTAAATTAATTAGTTGACCAATAAAATGTTTTATATGTTTTTTAGAGTTTATTTTTCACCCAAAAAAAAAAGGTATTATAAGACAGTGTCATAATAACAATTATATAGATATATACCGAGTTAAAACTCAATAGATGTTGTACAAATATGACTTTAAATCATAAACTTAAAGATATTGGTAAATAATTTTTTAGATTAGCTAGTCAAACAACTAAAATAAATGCTTAACAATTAATTTTTTTTTTCTCTTAACGTTTTGATCTAAAATACTAAAATAGAAAATGCTTGTTTGAGTAGCGTTTTAATCGTTATTTTGGATTTATTTTTTTTACAAGTAGTTTAAACTTACTTTAAAATATGGTTGGTTTTAAGTTGGTTAACAACAAAAGTAAATAAATAATAAATAATAAATAATTATCAAATTTCAACAAGTTAATGAACTTTGTCTACCTCAAGTGATCCGATCGATCATAACTACATAAGAAATTTTTGCTGAAAATAACATATGGATTCAACACGTTTATATATAAATCATACCATAGCCAAATTAGCATGATTTCATTGTTAAGATTAGACACAACCGAACCATTCTTCCACATAAGCTTCAATCATAAGTATGAATTATTGGGCTCCGACCTAATTGAGCTTGCCAGATAGTAAGTTTGTGATCTTTGATCACAAGCATGGTTGAAAAAATCGCTATAGGCGCTCTTACGGCACCTAGCGCCTAGACGTCCGTGTATTTTTTATTTTTTAAAAATTTATTTAATTTTTTTAAAATTTTTTAAGACCTGATAATTATAAACTATTTAATACTTTAATAGTTAAAACTAAAATATAAATATTAACTTTAAAAACATATAGAGTTTGAACAATTTAGAGTTATTTCATTCAAAACGATATTTTTTTTGAGTAAAATAACTCATTTAAAAAAGAAGGTAACAATAGCTAATCGGTCGACTAGGCGTTTAGGCTACCTAGTCGGTGCCTAGGAGACCTAGTCGACGCCTAGGAGGCTTAGGCGGCCTAGTTGGCCGCCTAGACTACCGATTATGGTAATACGTAGGCGGTCGGTCAAATCGGTGCCTAGGTGGAAATTTTGCAACACTGGTCACAAGTTCGACTCCTAGTTGAGGGCTGCTATTGAACTCTAAGTTGAGCCAGTCAGTCAAGACTTGCCTAAACTGATTTATCTCTTTAAGGTCTTGGTGATTTTCACTCAATGCGATTTTCACTCAATGCGCACACTTAGATAACGACTTCTATCACTAGGATTATATGGTCTAATGGTACCCGGGTTGGGCTTCCATTTGGAAGATTATGAGTTCGAGCCTTAGTGGAAACGTTATTGGTTCTTTGTGTTTCAGTAGGTTGAGAAAGTATATGAACAGATACTACAATGTATTAGAGTCAGTAACTTTCAAAAAAAAAAAAAGATAACGACTTCTATCATTTACTAAAACAAAGTATGAATTATGGATAAGCTTGAGCCAAATGGCACAATGAAGTACCCATCTTTTTTTGGCTTTATTGTGTTACAATAATCTTATATTAATTTTTGAAATAATAAATAAATGATCCTGTTTTTCGCAATTGTCACTGTCGGACTGAAATATAAATCAAGGGTTATGATTATGCACATGAGATAAGGATGAATATAACACATTGACAGTTTGACGCCTGCTGGATACATTGTTAATGATCATTCCGTCGTTATCTTTGAAAATTACTTGTGATTGCATTGTTAAAATTTTAAAAATTAAATTTATATCGCAAATAATTTTTTTGGATGACTACAATCTGATGTATCTGTAGCCTGAAATTTGAATATGTGAGTCGGTGACTTTCTATTTAAAATAGAAACAGTGATATAATTAAATCATAAGATATTTGGTTATATATATCATCAATAATTAAAAAGTTAAATTTACACCAATCGTAATGGAGAGTTGAGACATAAAAGTGTGATTTATCTTATTTCACACCCCTCTCATGACAGAAAAGATGGAGGTAGGATAGATCTGATCTAGATATTTATGAGGTTGTTGAGAATAAAGCAAAATTCTTCTTTTTCTGCGGTCCTTCCCAAGTATACTATGGTGGACACATGTCTTGTATCTATCCGGCTGGAGTCCAGTGAAAATGCATGCATATGTTTTCTTCATTAATGTCTCTTCATAATGAAAAACTTGGACCAAAGAATATAAATATGATGATTTAATAGTTCAGCAGGCATGATTAAATTTTAAAATATTTTATAGTGTAAGCTCACTATCTGAGAATATTTAATCCTAACAAATTTATATAATAAAAAGTATAACTCTTTGACATGTTAAAATTTAAAATCTTAGTTACTAAAATTTAATCTGATTAATTAGACTAAAATTCTTTTTATATTCTGAACCTCATAAATTTGTCGCAAACCCTAGAGAAGATAAATCATATTTATCTAGTTTTGCAAGTTGCAACCCACCGAACTGTAGTGTTGATGGTTGCGTCAGGCAATTTATATCCTACACCACGGCACGCGTTGCACTATGCGCCCAGATGCGAAACGACGTCGTTTTAATTATTTTTTTTTTTTGAAATTTCCCGCCCCAGTGAATGACAGTAATTTTTTCTTTAAAAAAAACCCGCTGTTCAAGAATGTATATAATGTTATACTAGAATACACATAATGTTATACATGAATGTACATAATTATATAACAAAATATACATACTCTTGTTAAAAGATAATACACATAATCTAACATAATACATAATAAACATAAACTTTTAACATAATACACATCAACTCTTAACATAATACACACAAATTTTCTGATTCGGATGTACATAATTGTATAAAAAGAATATACATAATTGTATAAAAAATACGCATAACTGTATGAACCAATACACATAACGTTGTGAACAAATACACATAATCTCAGCAACTTCCTACCGCGCCTCCCAACACTACCTCAAAACGACGTCGTTTTGAGAGGTGCGCGACGCACATTGCTATGTGCGCCGTAGTGTAGGATATAACCATTGGTTGCGTCAGGTGGTGATGTGGCATTACACCCAGATTTGGCAGTCGGCAGGTAGAAGTGTGTATGAGAAATGAATACAAATATATTATATTATTTACAGCTCCATTTTTATATGCTCAAAGTATGCCTGCTTTAGAGGGGACATGATTGAATATATGTACTCATTCTATTATAATATTATTACTAGGTTTTTATTTTTGTATGAATCCACTTTCGATTTTAACGATAAAATAATAAGACTAAATAAATAAATTTCTCTTTTAATATACACCACTCACTTGACTATAGGTCATGATTGGACACCAATCTATATAAAATTTTCATCACTAGAAAATGCTTCAATCACAATAATCTTTGTCTATTAAAAATAATAATTAAATCAAACCCCAACTTTGAGATTCCTATATTTAGGGAAATAGCTAAGAAAATAAATTACGAAATGTTAGTGAATCAAATCAAAAGATTACCACCCTGAACAGTAAATGGCTGTTAGTTGTTACTTGATTGGGTTAATTAGAGGGTATAACTAGTTTATAATATTAGTTGATTATAGAAAAGTATTTGATAAATTAACAATTAGTTGATAGTTGTTTGGTATAATTTTTTTAATTTTTTTTTTAAATTCAAGATCTTATAATTACGTAGCACCAATTCATAACTTTAAATAAATTTACTTTTTTTAAGGGTAAACTTTGGCTTATTCTGGCTAATTTAAGTTGCAAACCATGTGACAAAAAGTGTGTTAAACCTTAATTAACTTTTTTAACAATGAAAACAAATACATATGCATTGTACATTGTCTGATACCAACAAACTTATAAACCCGTGAATATAAATATATTGTTGCCTACCTAGAATGACTTTGGTCTGCAATTTGCAGGATGTTTGTTGCACTGTCTAATATTTTTAATTCCAAAATAAAAAAATTAAAATAAATTAAAATAATATATTAGACCACTTGTACCAAAACTGCCTTATCAAGTTCAATTCCAGTACATTGAATATAATGCACAATTAATTTTTGTATTTATTGTGTTAACTTTCATGTATAAAATATGGGCAGCACTAATGTACACAACTCACACAAGTCACGACATCTGTATATGTACGAAGCCAATTAAACAGCTAACAGTTTAAAGTAAACTGTAAACACCTTACAAGCTAATGTAATTATTGATCCCCAAATATGGTTATTATATATCGGTGTTGTTTGGTAAAATAATTAACCTATAAAATGTAATTTTAGTTTATTTGATCACTATTAACTATTTGACTTGGTTAAATAACCAATATGAGTGTTTGATTAATTATCTTTTTGTAATAACTTATTGATTCAAAATGTTAAAATTTAAAAAGATGCTCAAAGTAGCTTTTTCAATAAGCTTTTTGAGGAAGTCATTTTGTATGTAATCAGTTATCAGCCAACAACTAATTTACCAAACACTTTTCTACAATTAGTTAATGTTATCAACTAATCAAACTCAATAACCCAATCAACTAACCGCTATCAACTAACATCTATTTACCAAACATCCCCATTATCATTTGACTAAGTTTTAAATTTGAGGACAAAACTAAAATTTTAATAGTTGTGGTACCATTTTGTGTATTATTTTAATAGTTGAGGAATCAATTTGAGACTTAATTTGTTTAAGAATTTCGTTATATTTGTTTTGTTTTTATTTTATTGTATTTTTATTTTTGAATTGTAAAAAATGAATCACTCCATGACTATACACTAATTATGTGTCTATTTTACTTTTTTTTTTTTTTCACTTATAAGATTTTTCACTTGTTAAGTACATGTTTATAAAATTAATATCTTAAGTCCATAATAAAAACTTACTAATTTTTAATTAAATATATATTTAAAACTATACCATAATTATATAATTATATGTCAAACACTCAATTTATGAACTTTTAGCTTTAAGCTTATTTACTTATAGTTGTGGCACTGTTTTGTTTTTTTTGTTTGTTTTGTTTTTTTTGTTTGTTTTTGTTTTTTGTTTTTTTTTTTTGTTTTTTGTTTTTTTTGCACAATAAAAAACAAAGTTGATACTACAAGTACATAATTTATTAGTTTCATATATATAATATATTAACTGCATGCACATAATATGTTGTGTTGTTAACTATAGATTTATAAACACAGTACACTTTGAAGTTCCTAATAAAAACTTTTTAATTTTCAACCAAAGATTTATTAAGACCATATTATATTCATGATTACATGTCAAGCACTAAATTTATGAACATTTAGCTTTATGTAGATTTATATACAATTCACATAGATTAGTGATAAAATTAATTGACATAATATATTTATAATTAATAGATTATGTATCTGTAATTAACCAATTATGCATCTAATGCAAAGGTGAATTTTGTTAGAATGACAAAAAATTAAAAATCCGCTAATTTAAATAAAATTACATTATTTTAAATCAAGATACACAATACAAAATGAATATGATCCATGTTGAAATGCAATAGACATGCATTTAAGGTAAACTGTTAACAACTTACACTTATAAGCTACTGTAACTATTGATACTCTTAAGAACAGCCATAACTATACAGCCCAATCCGACTACTCATCTGAATGGGCCAATCCTTTACCACTCGTTATATTATAGACCGTGGTGCATGTGCACCGCGGTAAAAAACGACGCCGTTTCTTTAAGTAAAGAAACGGCCCGCCGTTAGAGTTAACGGAGTCCGTTTGTTTGGTGTATTAAACACCAACTGACACTACAGTATATCCAAACCGACACTGCAGTTATATCAAAATGATACTATAGTTATAGTGAAATGAAACTGCAGTGTATATAAACTGAAACTGAATAACATTTCACATATTTGAATGTATATTCTACAATGAAGCTGTAATTATATCAAAATAATCATGTAGTTGTGTTTTAATGAAACTATAGTGTATATAAAATAAAATTAAATAACATTTTATCGAATGAAACTATATTTATATCGAAATGAAACTGTAGTTGTGTTCAACTGAAACTGCAGTGTATACAAAATGACACTGAATAACAGAGTTACTTTTTGCAAAAGGGTGCGAAACGGCGGAAATAAACACTGTTAATTTTCATTTAAAAAAAAGACGCGCGGTGCATAATATAATTTGCCTCCTTTACTGCTTTTTTCCTGAATACAAATTGAATCCCATATATTATCACGAGTTAATACCCAAAATGGTCCCTCGACTATGCTATAATTACCAATTTGGTCCTCAACTACCATTCTTACCCAATTAAGTCCTCAACTATGTAACTTTTACTCAATTAAGTCCTCAACTATACAATTTTTACCCAATTTAGTCCTCAACTATACAATTCTTACCCACTTTAGTCCTCTGTATTAATTTGACTGTTTGTTGACTGTCAAAAGTCGGGATAAAATTATAATTTTACAAGATTTTTCCTTCATCTCCATTTAGCAGCGCCAAACCATGCAGCAATACACTCCGATTAGATTTCGATCGTCAAAAAATCGTTGGAAATCAAATTCATGGGCTATCCGATGCATAACCACTACTTCAATTCTGACAGGTTTAGAACCCAACCGGAGCTTATTGCTACATGGTTTGGCGCTGCTAAATGAGGAGGAAGGAGAAAACTTGTAAAATTACAACTTTATTTTCACTTTTGACAGTCAACAAACAGTCAAATTGACAAAGGACTAAATTGGGTAAAAATTGTATAGTTGAGGACTTAATTGGGTAAGAATGATAGTCGAGGACCAAATTGGTAATTACGACATTGTCGAGGGACTATTTTGGGTATTAACTCTGTTATCATAGTAGTAAGCAAGTATTTTATTTGAGTGACGAGGGAAATCCGTAACCACTACTCAAGGGTATGTATTGAGTAAATCTTGCTTTGTGACCTTAGTGAACAAAGGAGCATAAGGAGGTAATATAAATTTCATAGTTGACTGGCTCCAACCAAAAAGGCCAATAGGGCGTTTCTGTTAGGAGTTGAACTTGTAACATTGTGATTACCAAGTTAACAGCCTGACCGAATTGGTTGGAGTAAGCAAGTTTATTAAGAAGGTGAATGGTTGAAAGATTGTGGACATCTGGGGTGAAGCTTTGCTTAAATTCAGTCCAGTGATATAGTGTGGTCTCCATTTTCTGCATTTGGAAAGGTTTTATAAGGTGCGTGGAGGCTTTATGTTCCCTTGGGGAGTTGAATCTTACACTCTTGGTATCACATCAATCTGCGTTGTGTAATACATTGCTAGTGATGAGTACCGGTATACGCCCTCCGCGACTCTTCGGTCAGGCGGTCACTCCCTCACCTTTTTCCGACCTTCGCCCTCGCTCCTCAGTCCTCATAGGCTCATATGTGTTTGAGAAAATTAATCCTGGAGTGTCTTGTATTGCACAATAGAATTTTTAATTATTAATTGTGGAATAATTTGTTAATCTTTTGGATTTTCAATAAATTAATCGTTTATTTTTAGTTGGGCCTGCAAAATGACCACGGCCTAAATCAAGGGGCCCTAACATCAATCGTACAGCCCAAAACCCCGAGAAATTTTTGAAGCAGCGAAGCACCATGATTCGTGGCAATTTTTTCCTCTCATTCTTAGAAGATCAATTGTGAAGCTGGTGAAAGAAGAAATCGTATCAGTAGCAGAGCTCCATAGAAACACTGTCGCGACTCACGGCGAGCTCTCAATTCCAGAGCATAGCCTGAAATCTGCTCAGCTGAGCCCTAACATCCATTGAAAGATTCACAGCGCCAAGTAAGATTATTGAGTACTAGAGCATATGAATATGAATTATGATTTACGAAGCAGGTTATTTTCTCTGTTTTGCTTGTCTTTTTGTCTATATCAATAACATTTAACTATGGTTTCAGAACGAAGTTGCTGTATTTCAAAAACTATTGCTATGGCTGATAAGAAGGCACTTTTTCGGGCAAAACTAGCACAGAGGAAAGAGAAGCGAATTGAGAGTCCTCTTGTAAGGTAACTAAACAAATTGTTTTGTGCAACAAAATTAGTGAAGGAAAAAAGTGAACTTTGATGAACTATGTGAGTGGGGATTCATGTAGGTAGTTATGGAATAATAATAAGTTGTAGGGAGTATCTTGCCTTTGGTACAATGAAATGATAGCTGGGGCTGGAGGGACAATAGATCCTAAATCATTTATTTAGGGAATGCACCTTTGCAATGGCATGTTGGAACATAAAATTATGAATAGTGGGAAGGATTCCTTATGGGACTGGATATGGATTTTAGCTATAAACAAACTATAGTCTACACGTATTGATTGTGATCCATCACCCCTTGGGTATTTCGAGTTGAATACTGTACAAGCAGTGGATGGAAGAGCAAGTACAGGTGCTTGATTTGGAACTTGAATGGAATGTGGGTTGCAGGCTGTGTGGTTAATATTGGTGTGGTGATGCATACCTGCATGGTGGAATTTTGGGGAATATGTGAAGGCATCCATGTGGCCAAGGTAAGGGTTAACCAAAACCTCCTGGTAGAGCAATGACAGTTGCTAGAATCATGGAAAATTCAAATTTGGCTGGGAATAGAAATACATTGATTGTGGACTGTTGATTGCTAATCCGGTAGGGCTGAGTGAACAAAATTCAACATGCCTTTCAGAAGAGGATGAAGTGTTGGGACCTTCTGGCCACCATGGGACAGGAAGTGGTGGGACGCTTAAGTGCTCTAGTCTTCTAGTGTGAATGCCGGATATGCTTTTTGGGTGATGCCATGAGTAATGAATTTTGGAGAATTTTTCTTTTCTTTTTTTGGGCGATGCACCCAAAAAAGAAAAAAAGGCTTAGGAATAAGTCATTCTGAAATAAGTTGAACAATATTTTGTATGTGTTGTTTTGCATCAGCAAGAATGGCTAAAACAGTAATATGAGATTATAGCTTAGAGGAACTAATGCTGTGGGTTGTTGTCATAAATAATAAGTAATCTGCTAGAATAACAAGCTATGGAGTACTTTTTAATGCTAGTTTAACTAAGTTGATGATCTGAACATGTAAAAGTGGGCACACCTAAATTTGGATTACATGTACCCAAACAGTTGTTTGTTATCTCGATTGTTATTGACTATACGTTCCAATTTTAGTCATTAGTTTGTGTACCCACTAATGACTTTATGTTCCGCTGGGTACACAAACTCCTATGTTACTGCTGACTGCAATCACTAATTCTTCCTTCTTCTTTTGGGGGTATCTTCCTTTTTCTTTATGTATTTGTGTTTTTTATTTTTTTTTCGGGTGCACCTTATTCGAGCTCTTTATTGAGATTTGCAATATTTCATTTTTCAAAAATATGACTGAAGTTTCTACTTATTTTAAATAAAAAATAAAAAAAAGTATTTCTCTTTTGGATACAGGTATAATGAGCTTGAGCAACCTGTCTGTAGAGTTTGTGATGTTATCCTGAAATCTGAGACAGACTGGACTGTTCACCAAGCTTCTCGTAAACACAATGCGGTAGGATTTTATTGTATTTATTTGAAGTGCTAGGCTGACTTTCTATATGGGATGAAAATGTACTCTACTCAACAGGATACTATTCTAGGTTTGCTGTTTCAATAAACGATATTTCAGGAATAAAAAAAAAAAAGGAAAAATAAGCAAAACCCAATTTATCATAATCGGTTATTTAATGAGCTAGACATCATCCTTTTATTCACTGAGCTTGACATGCATCCCTTTATTGTTCTGGTCTTCCAGAAATAGTTTTAATGCATTGCTTTTATTTTTTACGTCATGTTGTTTGCTTTTCATTTTGATTTCCATGCTTATGCTTGCACAGGCAATCAATAATCTCAAAGCCAATGCTGCTGCACTAAAGCAAACCAAGAATCTGAAGCCTGGGCTTTCTAAAGATTTAACTAGGCCTGAGCCTGAGAATCATGAAGAGTTGCATAATAAAGAAGCTGAACCTGCAGGATTGTCTAAACGTCGACAATCATCTTCTCTTCCTCCCAACTTCTTTGATAGTAAAGAAACAAAGAAACAGAAAAGTGGTAAGACTTTTATTGCTGGAATCTGGCCTAAAACAGAGTAATAGTTTAGACCCTTCATTAGGATGTATACAATGAAGAGAAAGAATAAATTGTTCCTTTTGCAAATTGTACTGATTTACAAGGTTTAGCCATTTAGGTATCTTAGGATTTTAAGTCTGTAGGACATGCCATTTTTTAGCAGCCAAGAGAGTAAAAGGAATGTGTAAATTTACCTCTGACAACTTTTACTCCATTTAGTGGACATGCTTTATGCATACATCAAGTTTCTGGTATATCTTATTTCTGAGCATTCTTTTTACTGCACACTAAGGACTTAAATAACTCAAGTAATATATTGTTGGAGCATCTCATCTGATTGAGTTGAGAGGTCATGACTCTTGCAAACATACTGCAGTCAATGCTCAAACTGAAGAATTGCAGCCACCTATATCAAGGAGCAAAGTGGACATAGCAAATGAAAATGTTGACTCAAAGATTTCTGAATTGGGGCCATCCAGGGAACAACTAGCAAAACAGAGTCTTGGTTCAGAAGCTAGGAAGGCCAAAGGAATTCTTCCTGAAGGATTTTACGATAATAAAGATGCTGATTTGCGTGCACGTGGCATTACACCAGTCAAACCTGATGTCAAGTAAGCTTTAAGTTGTTTGTCCTTGTATCTTGATTGTGTTCTTACTCTCCCTCTAGAGTACATACACTTGGATATGGATTACTGATAGAATGAGATACTGTAATACCCCATAAAATGTGGGAATGCCCACTTTAGACAGCCAGAAGTTCATTAAGCTTTTCTTTTTGGGTAGGGGTGTGGGGGAGGGGGAAAGGAGGGGAGGAGGGGTGGTGGCACCCGCCACCCTCTCAAACCTCAAATGAAACCATTGTGCTATCTTGTATGGAATTGGCAATTCTATATTTTTGTAGTCTTCTATTCATCTGTTATGAACTTCCTGAACAAGGTCTGCCTAGCAGCCATTGTATAAAGGGTTCTTGGACATGCTATTTCTGCAGTAGATTGTGCCATACTGCTATTTTGATCAACTTGATATACTGTCAAGTCAATTGAACGGCAAATAGATTGTCTAGCCATATGGTCTTCTATGTTCTCACTATTTCTATTGGCAATTGTTGGTGACTGCAATCATAGTCATCCAGATGCAAGAAAGTATGATGTTGACTGTATGTAAAATTGTGGACAGGGATGAGTATAAGGAATTTGAGAAGTTGATCCAGGAGGACTTACAGGAGGTTGACAAACGTTTAGAGGAAGAGGAGGTCAAATTTCTAAACATTTTTGCTGAATTATCATTCCTGTTTCATATGATTTCTGTCATCCATCAAACTTGATTTATTAACCTTTAAGGTGCTCTATCTTGCAGTATGATGCAGCTGATACGATTGAAGAGGCTGAGACTGTGGAACAAAGGTAAAGCTTTCGGTGTGGTAATAACAAGTTAATGCTTTGTTATGTTAAGCTTCTGTTAATTTCTGTATGGCATTTTACCTAACATTTTCCTTCTCATGACTTCAGGGCCTGTAAGGAAAGAGTGGAGAGGTGGAAGAAGAGAAAGATTGAACTTAAGGCTGCCAAGTCTACCATTCGTGGCAAAGATACTAAGATCACTAACAAGGAGTCTAGCGATGAAGAGTCATCAAGTGATGCTGACAGTGATGAAAATTTAACAGTTGATTGGAGAGCTAAACATCTGTGAAATTCTCATGCTTTTGTTTTTCGGTAATGCTCTACCTCCCTGGTTCTTCCTTGCTGTAGTAGTAATAGTTTGTTTGTAAGATCTGAGAATCTGACACATTGTTTTAAGCTGAATCATTGTCTTCCTGTTGCAGATCTGAAAGTTGACTGAACCATTATTTGGTAGGAATTTAGATGCTTGTGTCTCCAAACATGAACTGCGAATTCTCATAGCTTTGTTGTTACGTAATGCAAATTCTAACACATGCAGAAGCTGTTTTATTGTCAACATGGCAAAGTTCAACCTCTGTAAGCCTCAAAGAATCAAATACGAGAGACATAACACAACACATGCTCATCTATCAATATGGCAATTTTGGGATATTTAGCTGATACATATATGTTTGCACAATCAAAGCTTCTTTTATGCTATCTGTTATTCTCCAACCGGTCTTAAGGTAAGGCTGCTCCGCTCTTAAGTTACTGTAAAAACAATTACTTATTTTGGGGTCTCAAGCGTCATATAAGAATCAAAAAGTAAACATGTCTATTAATTATTGTTTGTGTTGAATACTTTATTTTGTTTTACCCATTCTTAAGTGATGCAGATGTTCATTGTTTATTATTTCCATGATGTCTATTGAAACGAGGAACAAAAATGAGTCATTGCCTTGTCATCCAAAGTTCAGTTAATCTCTTGATAAATTAACAAAGATTTTATATGTTTCTTTTGCCAGTAAGATGCTTTAGGCTTCTTCAAACTCTATCGTCATTTGAATTTACCAATTGATCAAAGTTGTCGTGGTTAGCTGGAGATGTATTTTAAAAATTGGGTAAAACTGTTAGCAGCCATAATGGGAAATGTGAATCTCATTATTATTGTTGTGTTTTTCTGTTGCTTGAAATTATGGAAATATTTATAATCATTGAACACAAGATGCATTGAGTTAATTCGGGTCATGTAGACAAAATATTTAATAAGCAAACTCCATCCAGATTCATTTGTTGAGACTTTAACAATAGATCTATTCCATTGTTTGTTTTTGCATTTTACGCCAAAAAAAATCTTATTATCCGCAAACATAACAAACAACAGAAATGAGTTACCGTAACAATACTAACTCGTGAACAAATATGAGAAAAAAGAAGAGAAGAAAATATGATGGGGGAAAAGAAGCCCATAAGAACCCTCACTTATAGATATTTTCTCTTTAGTGAAAATTTTCAAATGTTATCATTCCTTGAAAAGTTGTGACTTTCTATTTTTACCAGTAAAAAACGGAAACTAATGTATGGAAATACAAAACAACGAACTGCCAGTGCTTTTTGTCAGTATTGGGACTAATTAACTACTAGCAATTCAGTTTGGCTCTCAAGTCGCAAGTCAGTGGCCATGTTGGTAAGAAACATTTGACTATTTCATAACTCTAAATCTAAACTTAAGAATCCCTCATAGTTTTTGTTCTAAAAATTAATGAAGCAAATAAATCGCATGAGGTATCTCAATTAGCCAATAAATTTTTAAGTAATCAAATTCATAAACTTCTCAACTTATTTTGAATTAGTTGACCAATTAAGTTGTATCTTGAGACGATAGAACTATTTCATGAAACGAAAAGATGAAACAATTGTTTTAGAGCGGGTTGGCGTATCGGCTGCCATGTATGTGCCTGTATCTCCCGTCTAGTCCCCCAACTGACTACCTCGACCGTCTTACCGACTGCTCATAGGTTTCATCCGGCTACCCGGCTGGCTGCCTGCAAGTCCCGCCCGGCTACCTGATTGGCTAGACCGACTGTCCTTCCTCCCGCCTGCCTCCGTCAAGCATCCTGCAATACGACTGATCGGTTCCATCATCCTGCCCAACCGACTGCCTGCTTTCCTGTCTTCGCCAACCTAGCTACCCACAGTCACTTGACCGACTAGATAATACTCCAACTGGTACTTTACCTTCCGTACTCGGCCTACCCGCCAACTCCATATATCTTCCATTGCCTAGTCCGACTGGGTGTATCATGTATGTTCATCTCATCAATAACTAATTTTAAACTACTTGAAACTTGATCGATATCCTGGGCTCGTACCATTTTTTTAATATTATTTTAAGATTTTAATATTTGTAGTGACACCCAAGTAAATAGGATTAGAGACGTACTAATGTAAATCTATCGCTAACTTTTTTTTTTTTTTTTTTTAAATGTAAATCGTTAACCATTCGGAGCTAAAAAGTCAACCTTTCATTTCTGATCGTCCCTTTACCTTTCAGCCGCATAAGCAGTACGTGCGGCGACAGAAATCTGCCAACGTTAAACTCCGTCCTAGTTCAAACCTGTCCGGCTACATAAACCGCAACTTATTAAAATATTTGCGGCACGTTAAACGTACGCACTGTCTATTAATTAACTCACTAAACAATCATTATCATAGATGCAAATGGAAGCTTAAGGTCAACGACCCCCATAAAATTAGCAATTTTTCTTGGTGACAACTGTAAAATATCCATATGAAAATGGCAGCGGCATGACGTCGTCAAGATCGTCTAATTAGTAATTACCTCGTTGTTCTATGTTGATTAGTTGCGTGAAGACACACGTTATTAATTCAAACGCACGCATGTTTAGCTTATCTTAATTCCCGGTGCTTATTTGATCGCATGCTTTGATTATCTTATCATGACAGTAATTAAAAACTTTGTTAATCGCAACTTGGTTGTTACCGTCATGGATTTTTTACCATGTTGGTCCTTAATCTTATCATGACAGTAATTAAAAACTTATTCAATTATATATTAAATTATTTATTATAACAAAAATCGGTGTGAGATCGATTCACAGATCCTTATCCGTGAGACGGATTGTCGGGTTGTAGATAACTGAGTGTATAAGTATCACAATTTCAGTTATAAATATTACAATATTTATCATTAGTAACAATCAATTTTATCATAAATAGTATCACAATTTCACATATAAGTACTACAAATCATAAGTAATGATTTATTTTTAATTCAAATTGATATTAAATTTTATATAATAAGTATCACTCCGATCCATACAATTTATTTCTTAAATAACATTTTATATATAAGTATTACGGGGTACAATATTTACATTAGAAACATATTTTATACATATATATCACAATTTCAATCATAAATATTACAATATTAAAATATTTATCATTAGTAACAATCATTTTTACTCTAAATAATATCACAATTTCATATATAAATAAATATTACAATATGAGTTAATTCTATTTTTTGTCATAGATTTATAGTGACAGTTTACTTTTAATCTTTTTTTTTTTTTTGTTTCCAGAAAACCCCCCTTGGATCGTAATATTATTGTGGCATGACCATTTTCAATCCCCTGTCAACAAAATCGTTGAAATGCCCTTAAATACGAGGATATTTCGCTCTTTTTTATATTTTACAGAATTTAAAAAGTTTTGAGTGACCAGGAAAACTCGTGGTCATGATCTGAGAATGTGCATAGGAATTTTATCCCACCTTGTGAGTGACTGACCATGATTAAAAAGTCAATAATTATCAAGTCAACAGTAAAATCTAAAATTGTCCCTTAACCTTGGGGTATAAATAGTTAACTATCCACAAAGAGTTGAACAATGTCCATTTTCCTCCTTCCTTCTCCTTCTCTCTCTAGATCCTAGCCAACAGATTTCCTAGATCTTCCACTAGTTTTCAAATCTCCCTTCACAAATTCAAACTTCAATGCACACAGCAACTTTCCAGCTTTAATTTACCAAACATATATTATATACACACACTCTTTATATTTCGAATGCTCATCAATGCACTGAAGCAGCAGTACCGTCTCCGTCGGTTACGCGGGCCAAGTTTAAATTGATTCCGGCATTTTCGATCGTCGGCGGGAGGTGTGGATCGGCGGATGATGACTAAGAGATCAGGTGTAGGGCAGGCGCCGGCGGAGATTAACGGTGGTAATGGAATCGAGGAGTATGCGGCGGATGATGATGAGTTGAGAGATAATGGAGTGGAGTATGAATCGTCGTCGAGAGGGAGCCGATTCAATTTGATCCGGAACGCGGTAGGACTGGCGTCGACTCGCCGGACGTCTAGCCGACAGACATTCATCGACGGCTTGAGAGATCTCTCGCGTGGTCGCGTCATTCTTCCCGATAACAGGTCAGTACATGCATACATTTCTCCCCCGGTGATTATTTGTATTGCAATCTCAACTAGATCATCTTTGATCTTATCATCAAATGCACCAGTATTGCTTCGCAACCAATCCAGTACTAAATACAATATGATGAAAAATTATAAAACTATATGGTTAGATAATAAAGTGAAAAATTATAAAATTATATTGTTAGGTAATACAATGTATTGCTTTAGATTCTAAAACAAGTTATCGTGAAATTAAATGAGTTATTCAGCATTTTTACTTTATTAGATGGATAATGATTACTCACTTGCTGCTTGACACGTGAAGATTTGGTGTATCCAGTAAAATTTTTTATTATTGATAACTGAAATCATTTTTGAGCCATAAGTCAGGACTGATGTTGAGCGTGATTCCCGCCAACGGCTTCATAGGCAGGTAACAGCTGGGCCTAGAGCGCTTTCACAAATTTGACAATTTCATGATATTTTAAATGAAGAAGGCTATCTTATCTCTACAAATCTTTCTTAGTCTAGAAAAAATAAATTTCACATTCACATTATTTAATTTGTAAATCTTTACTATTCACACTACAATCTACAAATTCAATTAACTTTTAAAAGTAGATCTCAATATATTAAAATAATATTATTAATTTATATTAATTACATTTAAATATTAAAAACTAAAAACTAAAAAAACAATTTTTTTTTATAAGAGAAGTACAAAAGCTGCCGCAAAGCTACGACGCGGCAGCTTTTGTACAGGATTTACAAATTTGTAGCAAATTCAAATTTGCAAATCCTATTAACAAAAAAATATATATATAAATGATGTGACAAATGCCACATCATCTTACAAAATGGGTAAATTGACTCGGATAATGTTAGTTTAATACTACATTTATTTCTATTTTTTTACTTAATTTTTTACTCTCTGGTGAAGTGTCATGGTATGATTAATTAAAAAACAAATAAAGAGAATCATTATTTTTATTTATTCACTTATAGGAATATACCCAGCTCTACCTTGTACTGTAACCTAGTTGGATCAGTATCGGATTTCGATGTCGAGAGGAATCATTTCCAACTCGGGCCGACTAGGAACCACGTGGCCTGACCACCTTGCAGAGAACCGACTAGGGCTTGGTTAGTAGCCATATTTCCTAGATCTTGAAACCTTCCCAATCATCTTGGGTCATGACGACTTGGGAAGCCCGACCCCGGCCACTTAGGAGATTAGGTAACAACTCTTCTAGCCTAGCAAAACAAAGGTAAAAAGCAAAGGCGTCAGGAATCTTCGGACATACGTAAGAATCAACAAAGGCCTTCTGTTTGTCTCTCTGCATGAGCCATAGTGTCCCACATGCCGAGCTTCCGGCATGTGTTCCCCAGCTCCTTATTGTGAGGAGGGGCTTTTTGGCATTGAATATCTTTGCATCCTAAGGTTGAGACCCTCTAACGCGCAGTTAAGTAACCCGAGCATTATTACTTAAATCAACAAGCAAACTGAGAAAGGATCTTTATACGATTTGACCCGAATATCTAGCATATTCGTAGGAATTACCGCTACATTATTCACTTTTCTTTACTAAATAATTTTTTTACACATAATGGGAGTTATACTTCATGAATTGAAATACATCTATCATTTTCCTTTTTAAATTTCATTAACCTGGTCCCGTTGCTCGTCGGTGACTAACTACTACTATATCTACTGCGGGTCGTTGTTAGCATGCAGTTGATCACTCTCTGTAAAGGTTAAGGCCAATGTATAAATGTCTAATATTGATAACAAATTAACAATTATAATTGAAAAGTTAATAGGATTTGATACGAGCTATTAATAGACCATCATTTTCTTTTAGTTGCATGCATTAAATGAGTAAATGACAAGAACTACAAGTCCGGCCACCCCTATGTATGAGGAGATAACATTTCATAAGTTTTTAATTTCTTCTTTATATCTGCATAGAGCCGAAGATATAATTATATTTTTGAATGGTAGGAGCCATCTCAGCCAAGTTGATTGATAATTAATTTGATAACTATTGTATAAAATTTTAAGTTTGACTCTAGATGAGAATTATCTATTGGCTATTCATTATAATGTTTTTTTTTATTCTCAACTTTTAATTTTATCTAATCTAATAATTTCTTTAAAGAAGAAATGCACTTTTGTTTCTAAGTTATTTTAAGGTAATCGTAGGATTGTCGTGCTCACTTATTGTTTCTAAATTATAATCAACGTTGTAAACTTCATCTTTTTTTTTTTTTTCCTAACAAGTCATGCCCATTTCTTGTCCCTAAGCTATAATTGGCGTTGCAAATTTCGTCCATCATATTTTGTTAAAAAAATATGAATTTGCAACGTCAATTATAGCTTAGGGGCCATGAATAAGCCCTACAATTATCCTATATTTTAGGAACTAAAAATGCAAATTTTCCTATTCTTAATTTATCAAATTTATAGTCCGGGAATGATATTTCAATTATTTACTCCACAAGTATTTATATTACTAACTCCTAAGACCTACCTTTCCCGCAAAATGGAAGATGCATGTAGTGAAGTGCAAGAGATGACACACTTGAAATAAATTGTAATAGGTTTCGTCGAGCATGGGAGAAGTTCATCCTAGTGTGGGCAATGTACTCGTCATTCTTTACACCAATGGAGTTTGGGTTCTTCAGAGGATTGCCGAGGAAGCTCTTATTCTTGGACATTTGCGGTCAGATAGCTTTCCTGGTTGACATTATCTTGCATTTTTTTGTTGCATATAGAGATAGTCAAACGTATCGGATGGTCTTCAAGCGTACACCTATCGCCCTCCGGTACGTCAGTCCTCATTTTCGTGCAATTTCAATTCCCTCCTGCAATATATATTGCACAAGCTAGCTAAACTAATTAAACCAACCAAGATCAATTAAGCATTTTTATGTTTTTGAGTGTTGTAGGTATCTGAAGTCTTATTTTATCATTGATCTTCTCAGTTGCATGCCTTGGGATATCATCTATAAGGTATTATCCCTTGTTCCACAATACATATACGTCTCTAGCCACATTTTTCTGTTTAAACTGTAACATTAAAATGTTCATCACGTTTGAATTATATATTAATTATCAGGCTTCAGGAAGGAAAGAGGAATTGAGGTATCTTCTTTGGATTCGGTTGAGCCGGGTGCGCATAGTCGATAATTTCTTCCAGAAGCTAGAAAAAGATATTCGGATCAATTATCTGTTTACAAGGATAGTAAAACTCATTGCAGTAGAAATCTATTGCACCCATACAGCAGCCTGCATCTTTTACTACTTGGCCACTACTCTGCCTGAAGACAGAGAAGGCTACACATGGATTGGGAGTTTGAAATTGGGTGACTTTAGCTACTCAAACTTCAGAGAGATTGACATCTGGAAACGCTACACAACTTCTATGTACTTTGCCGTTGTCACCATGGCAACAGTTGGTAATCCATTTATCTCAAAACCTTAACATACTTCAATTTCTTTGCAAATGCTCTTTCTTAATATAATGCAAACTGTTAATAAGAGGATTTTTTTATTTTTTTTATCATCACTTGATGTGTCCTGTGTAAAGGCTTTAACCATATACCTCAGAAATCACATCATGTATCAACAGGCACATGGCTAGCGTAGTTGGTGGATTAGTATGTCTCTTGGAACACATGCCCATTTTGAGGATCTTTAGACTTTATATTGTTATTTTCATTCCTCATTCGGATGAGAACTTATATTCTATGGATAAGCGAACTCTAAAAATTGTTCTGGATATCCGATCTGTAGGAAGTTGAGCACTGACATGGACTTGTAACTCATGAACTGTGGTTGGCATTCCTCAAAGAGTCAAAGCTCATGGTTTTTCTCTTGTGTGTTTCCATGTCAATTGTCAACCTCTACTCTCTCCTTCCATTTTCCCTCTTTCCATCATCACAGTGATTTTCCCTCAGAGTAAGACTCTTTGGGCTGAGGTCCATTGAGTCACAATACTTACCATTTTTACTGGTTGGTTCAACTCAACACCAAACAGTTCCAAGTGGTGGAATTAGGTTGTTTGTCATTAAAAAAAAAGAAGGGAAAAGTGCACAAGCAGAACTTTGTTTTTCTCTTGTAGTTTGATGTGTATAATAGAGAAGGTTGAACTCTATAAATGAGGCTCCACATCCTTCGGGTTGGGGAAGGGGGAAGGAAGATGTGCTCAATCTTACTATTATAATGTAAGATATCAGTCATGCTTTAATTATCTAGTTACATGTAATTGATGATACCATTTTTGGGGGGTGTTTGCAGGATATGGAGACATACATGCAGTCAATCTTAGAGAAATGATATTTGTCATGATTTATGTCTCCTTTGACATGGTTCTTGGTGCCTATCTTATTGGTAATATGACGGCACTAATTGTAAAAGGATCAAAGACTGTAAGATACAGGGATAAGATGACAGATCTAATAAAGTTTGTGAACAGAAACAAACTTGGAAGGGATATCCGTAGTCAAATTAAAAGTCACTTGCGTTTACAGTATGAAAGTAGTTACACTGATGCAGCTGTTCTCCAGGATATCCCTGTCTCCATACGTGCCAAGGTAATGAGATAGAAACAATCTTCATGTAACTTGTTTGTTATTTCTTTGCTCTTATTGGCATGGAAGTTCCTAGTCAATATATCATTCTTTCACAGATTATGCTCACATCCACCATCAGTATTGTATAATGGATATTTATCACTTCTGCAGATTTCACAGTCTCTATACCAGTCTTATATTGAAAATATCCCTCTTTTGAAAGGGTGCTCCTCAGAGTTAATCAATCAGATTGTAAGTCATTTATTCTTTATTAAAAAAAATTATTCCATTTTGAATTCAGACATTCAGTTTACTACTTTACTATTGAATTAAAATAACTGTTTACTATTATTATTTCTAAAGTATCGTTTTCTGATATATTTATAAATCTTGGGCTCTTGTTTTACTTGCTACAGCATAAGCATTTTCTATCCATTCTTTTGTTGTCTTCTCTATTTCCTTAGCTAGTTTAAACTCTAAATTGCATGAACCAAACAGAACAAGAAGAATGAGATGTTACTTGTGCAGTTGTGTTTGGCATGAACTATATAATTATTACGTCCATAATGAAATTGTTACAGTACTTTTAAGACAAAGATTTACATTGAAATTGTTATTTTTGTTATATAGGCAATTAAAGTCCATGAAGAATTTTTCCTTCCAGGAGAAGTGATTATGGAACAGGGAAACGTAATAGACCAACTTTATTTCGTCTGCCATGGTTTGTTGGTAAAATGCTTCACCCTCTATGTCTCTTAACACCCACTCTACATTATTATCTTCTTCTTTCTAGTGTACTGTGTATTATGATTCTTTTTACTAGTACCATAACTGTTTATCCTGTAATAGTACACAGTTTTTAGTGTTTGGATATTGATAGTGGCTTTGAGGTTTTTTCTTTGTGTTGAAAAAGTCCTTACAGGGGATAACATAAAAATTTGTCTGTCTCTATTTGACTAAAATGCTTTGGGTACTGGTTAAACTTGTCATCTTTTGGTTCTCTATATGACTCACGATTCAAACTTCTTAGAGTGGTTAGGTAATAAAAATTGTAATTTTTAATACAGGAGGAAGTTGGCATTGAGAAAGATGGATCAGAAGAGACAGTGGCCAGTCTAGAGCCCAATAGCTCATTTGGTGAAGTTTCCATTCTTTGCAACATCCCCCAACCATATACAGTTCGTGTTCGTGAACTATGCAGACTCTTACGGATTGATAAACAGTCATTCTCCAATATTCTTGACATTTTTTTTCATGATGGCAGAAGAATCTTGAATAACTTGTTAGAGGTAATGTTGTTACCTGCTTTTGATCTTTTGTTCAGTTGCACAATTCAACCAGCAGTACTTACAAATATTTGGCAACTTAGTTCTAAGTATCTGTTCGCTATTTTTCATTTATGAACTTATGCTGCAAACATCCAGTACCTAAAAGACATTTGGATCTCAGGGAAAGGAGTCTAATACTCGCATTAAACAATTGGAATCTGATGTCTCATTTCATATTGGGAAGCAAGAGGCGGAACTTGCTTTGAAAGTCAATAACACAGCTTTTCATGGTGATCTGCATCAGCTTAAAAGTCTCATTAGAGCTGGAGCTGACCCCAACAACAAAGATTATGATGGAAGATCCCCCCTGGTATGAGTTTAGCCAACACATTATAAGAATAAGATTGAAGTTTTTCCTAAACAGATTATTGAAATGAGCTATTTCACTTAATAAGATGGTTTTCCCAGCATCTTGCTGCATCTACAGGGTATGAAGCTATTGCTCTTTACCTTATCCAACAAGGTGTTGATCTTAATGCACCAGGTACATTTCTTGAGTGTTAACTGTGGTTCAATTGGAGGAAGCTTGGTTTTGTATTACACCGAAGAATTTACAGTATGTAATATTTCATGAACAGATAACTTTGGGAATACACCTTTACTTGAAGCCATCAAGAATGGACATGACCGTGTTGCTTCAGTGCTTGTTAAAGAAGGTGCGAGTTTGAAGATTGAGAATGCGGGTAGCTTCTTATGTGAGATTGTTGTTAGGGGGGATTCTGATATTTTACGAAGGCTATTATCCTATGGTGTTGATCCAAACTCCAAAGACTATGATCACCGGACGCCTCTTCATGTAGCTGCTTCTCAGGGTTTATATTCAATGGCAAAGCTGCTTCTAGGAGCTGGTGCTTCTGTTTTCTCAAAGGACAGGTAGGTGCCATTCAATTCATTCTTCAATATAATTCCACACTCAAATTACATCTGATCTCCACATCAGTATTATATTATATATACTCTTTGAAAATTTTGCCATAATTAGGATGATGCATGCATGCATGCTTGAGGAAGCTAAGCTGTAGCTTTGCCTTGAGTTCAAACATTATATTATATGTAATATGTATTATTTGGTGGTTACGTTACGTTGCAGATGGGGAAATACTCCAGTTGATGGAGCAAGAACAAGCGGGAACAAGCAGCTGATTGACCTTCTGGAAGAAGCAACATCTGCTAAACTCTCTGAATTTCCTGGATACTATGAAGATAGTGCAGGTATTTCTTATCAATATAAGTTAATTATGAAAAGAAAAAAGTCAAGATTAAATTCAAAATATTAATGACGGTCAATTATATTTGTTTTTCATTTTCACTTGTGATTAGAAAAAACACACCGAAGAAAATGCACAGTATTTCCTTTTCACCCATGGGAGCCAAAGGATGCTATGAGAAAGCATGGAGTTGTACTTTGGGTTCCGCAGAGTATTAAAGAGCTGGTAGAAATAGCATCAACGCAGCTTCAACTTACTTCTGCCTCATGTATACTAACAGAAGATGGAGGTAAAATTCTAGATACAGATATGATTTCTGATGGACAAAAGCTGTATTTGATCACCACTGAAACACAATGAAATTTCATTCCCCCGTCCCTGTAAATAGGTTATCCTTAGCATGTAAGCTATTATGTTGTTACACGTACACATTGAGTGCAAATAAACAAAAATGGTTAGACCTCATAGTTCCTAGTTGCCAGAGGGGGAAACTTATTCTTTTTTGGTTAATATTCACAAGTTTATATCAATAATATAGTTTTATACATGTTTGATTTTATATATGCTTTTCAATAGTTTTTGCATTTGTATTGTTGGCTTGGATTGGTATTTCTCTTTAACGCAATTAAAAGTGTTTTGAATTGTGTAAAATAAATATATAACTTATTAATTAGTTGTGGTCACGACTCACGAATCAATTCAAAATTAAACTAGCTATGAACTCGGCTAGAACTAGCATGCCTTAAGTTTATAAAATTTCAAGTCTGGCTCAGAGTTAGATGAGGACTTATAAGACTGGTCTTGAATTTATAACTTTTTAGTTTATGAAATGATTGTATCTACTACCTTCTTTGTCACATTTTACATGTCATGTTTACAATCCATTGATTAAATAAATTATTTTTTCTTTGCTTAATATATATATATATATATATATATATATATATATATATTTTGTATTTTATAGTAGCTTTATATACCCTGTGTATAAATTTTATATACTAATATTAACTTCTTTTTTTGAAATAATATACTAATATTAAACTAAATATTATGAAAATTTAAATTCAAAATAACTTTAGTCAAACCTGGTTAATTAAGCTATACACATAAAATGAGAGAAAGGGAGTTATTTTATTAGGAGGGAAGATGCTTTTAAATAAATTTTTAGCTTATTAGTGTAATTTTAAAATTTTAAATATATGAAAGTTAATAAATCTGAATTGATTAAATAAGATTAAAGAGGAGTGAAGAAGAGAAGTCCGAAAAATAAAATTGAAAAAGAAAAGAGAAAAGTAAGTTGAAATGAAAGAAAGGAGTTAAAAAAAAAATAAAAAAGAAAAAAAAAAAGGAAAGAAATATTGATAATATGCCAAATCCAAACTTGTTCATGTCATTCAGTTTCAAGTCGCCACATCTCGGAGAATCCCAACAGGCAGTCAATGGTGCAGTCAATGATTCAACAGTCAAACCGTCCCTGCCCATTATGCCCCTAGTTCAAATTTCCGATTACTATGACGCAAAGGGTTATTTCCGTCAAAACGAACTCAAAACCTCCAGGTCGAGCGCCAAATAGCAGCAGCCACCCACCATTTTGAAACTTAAGTCAACATAACGAACTCTGAAACTGAACCCATTTACGAATTACGATCGTCTTCGTTTTTCTGCATGCAAAGATTTTGAGAACTGTAAAATCTTGAATCCCTTAATCGGAAGCTGGAAAAATGTCGCCACCGATTCTAGAAGCTTTCAAGAAGAGGAAGAAAACTCCCAAGTTCTTCGGCCTCCACAGTTTTGCAGAGGCGGGGTACCCCATTTTCCCCACCGGCCCATTTGTCGACAACATCCGATTCTTCCTTCAAGAATGCGCCGAGCTTGAGGATTACGAAGTTGAAAGAATGCCCATCTGGATTACATTTCTGGTCCATGAAAGCAGGGGTTTTGCAGCTCCTCTCTACACCATTGAAGAGACCGTCAATCGCTCGTCCCACCAAGTCTGCAACCACTGCCGATATGCCGGTAAGGCCCAGTCCTTATATTCTTCAATTTCGTTTCCCTTTTGTTGATTGCTGAAATTGGTTTTGGGAATTGAGGTTTTAGCTTCATTGTATTTTGTTTGTTCTAGGGTTAATGGGGATATGGGAACTGTATTTCAGGTTGGAGCCAACATTTAGTGTCGAAAAGGAAGTATCATTTTATAATTCCTATCGATGATGAATGGAATCAGCCGCTGACTGAAGGTGTTCTGGATCTTCAAACCCATCTCCTTCACGGGATGATCCACTGTAATGGGTTTGGCCATTTGCTCTGCGTTAATGGAATAGAAGGCGGGTCAAAATTCCTGTGTGGTAGAGAAATAATGGACTTATGGGATCGTATCTGTACTAATCTTCAAGCTCGGTATGAAAAAACTTCCTTCAATTATAGTTATGAAACGATTAATTAGTATTTGAATTTGATATATTGAATTGTTCTTATTGGGTTCCAGCAACATTTCTGTTGAGGATCTGTCTAAGAAACACTCGATGGATCTGAGGCTACTCTACGGTGTTGCATACGGTCACTCGTGGTTCGGGAGATGGGGATACAGATTTGGGCGTGGATGTTTCGGAGTGATGGAGCATGATTATGAAAGAGCAATACAAACCCTGAGCTCCTTAGAGCTTGATCATGTTGTTGATGATTTCAATCTCTCCAGAAATGGTGTTGAGATTAGGCAAATAATTTTATCTTACAGAAACCTCAGTCGAACTCAGCTGTCCACTCTTCGGGATCTATTCAGATTCATGCTCTCTCTCAAGTCAAAAGCTCCAGCCCTTCCAACAGTAAGACCGTGTTCTTCAAAGCGCTTGATCAGGACCACTATTCCGAGTAAGCCTTTGGGGAAGGACCGATCAGGTAGGTGCAGAAAGTTTGTGAATCTCGCGGCATGTATGGATAGCAGATGGCCGTTGAGAAGGCTGGAATTCACAGCTAATGTGATTGTCGATGCATTGAAAGAGAAGAAACAAGAGAATAATAAATCGGGCAGTTATGGGATGACTAGGCAAGAGGTACGAGATGCTGCACGTGTCCACATTGGGGATACCGGGCTGATTGATCATGTTCTCAAGTCAATGAATAATGTGATTGTTGGTAGCTATGTTGTGCACCGTGCTGTGAATAGAGCCACGAGGGTGCTGGAGTACACGCTCCAAGAACTCAAGAATCGCGATCAGACTGATCAGGAAAGAGTTCTAGTTCCTGAGCCGGATAAACCGGCTTCACTTACTGCAGTGCCTCCGGTTGATGTTTTTGGAGATGTTTTTTGTCTCTACTCTAACGTACTCTTGGGCTATAAAGAATCCGACGTTGTAAGCCTTGCTGCTCAAACTATTCTCGATACCAAGCATTTCGTGAAGGAATGGCCTTTCAGAGATGAGCTCGACGACTTGCTGAGATTCATTTGCATAGTAGTGCCAAGCTCAATTGACATGGAAACAGTACTGCCTAAGGGCATAATCCCGAAAGAGCACATTGTGGTTCCTCTGCATTCAACAATTGGCGATCTGAAACTAGCTATACAGGCTGCAATGAGGGACACTTACTGTGCCATGGAGGAATTTGTAGTGACAGACATCAAGGGGTTGGAGGGAGTCGGGGACGATGAAGTAATTTTTGGCATCGTTGAGTCCGGTACACAACTTTTCATGAAGGGTTTGGGGTTGGCTTTTGCGGGTGACCTGAAGTTTGAGGATAGAGCTCATAACTGGACAGTCAAGTGCAAGTGCGGGGCTCGAGATGATGACGGGGAGAGGATGATTTCGTGCGATGTATGCGAGATATGGCAACATACTCGGTGTGTTGGGATTAAGGACGATAAGGCTGTGCCACCATTGTTCGTGTGCGAGGTATGTTGTGGTAGACTCGCTCCAACAAGAACACTCGGTGGGTTTGAACTTGGTTGCCATGAAACTGCCCTCATTCCTTGGCAAGTTGAGGCTGATACTGCACTCTACTTCTGAATGTACGTTTTACTTGTATAGCTTTTTATTCTGCTATTGTTAGTCCTTTCTTTTTGTGGTCATCTGTTCTGTTCTGGACAATTGTGTAAAGCAAAAAGGATTCAAGAAAACAATTCAAGGATAATGTTTGTAATCATGCATATATGATAAACCAACTTCTTTTTCTGAAAATATGCCTCAGTTAGCTTTTGTTGGTAAATGACTGTTAGCTGATTGTGTTAATTAGAGGGTATAACTAAGTTGATAACATTAGCTGTTGTAAAAAAGTGTTAGCTGATAGCTGTTTGGTATAATTTCTTTTCTGAAAAAGTTGTTTGGAGTAGTTTTTTGAGTTTTAGCATTTTGAAATTGCAAAAAGCTAATTAACCAAACAATTATATTGATATTTTAACTAAATCAAACAATTAACAGTGGTCAAATAAGCCAAAATTGGCCTATAGACCAACTTTTTGGGACAATGTCACCAAGAATTGTTCAATGGCTTCTCCAACAGAGCTGAAAGGTACATTTCATTGAGCTCTGGGCCTCTATCCATCTTCCTGCCCACCACCCACTTCACCTTGCTGAATCCAATGCTCTCAATCAATGGCGTATAAACCTTCTCCAGCTGCTCCCCCACGCAGAAGAAATGGTCAAGCCAGAACAGCCCACCGGGGCGAAGAACCCGATAGATATCGAAGAACATGAAGTGCAGCAGCGTTGTGGGAATCCAGTTGCTGAGAACATGCATGGAGTGCACAATATCCAGCGTGTTGTCGAAGAAGGGAAGTCTCTGGGAAATGCTTAGATACAATGGTATAACCCCTCTTGATGCTATAAACGAATTGAAAGGACCATTGAGGTTCATGGAAGTTGTCACGATTGTAATGTTTCTGTCTCTCATTCTTACAGCAAATGTCGCCACTCCCCCTCCAATGTCGAGGCCTATTCTTATCGTGCCGGGTTTTTTCACTGCAAGAACTTCGTCAATGGAGAAATCCAGGCCGGCGCCGGCGCCGGAGCTCGCCCAGCGAGCTTTTTCGCGGCCGTTGAGATCAAAGCAGTCTTTACAATCGTCAAAGCCTTTCTGGGTTTTCATGCGATTGATGAGACATGAGTAGCTTTTACATTTATATGCGGTCCAGACGACGCTGGAATCGGATGGAGTGGTCCATAGGCTTTCCGGGAGAGGGTAAGGCTCGGCGTATTCCTTCGGCGCCGCCGGGCGGCATCGCCGGCGAGGGAGAGGCTCGCAGCCTTTGAGAAGAAGCTTCTGCGCTAGGAGCTCGTCGTCCGGGCAGGAGCCGTTGACTTGGTACGACATGAAGCGGCGAAGTTCGTCGGGAAAATCGGTGCACGGCCGGCCAACTGGGGGGTTGATGTTGTCGGAGTCGAAGTTTGTGTTGAACCCAAATGGAAGCTCCTGCGGAGACGTGAAAGCGAGGAACTCCGGCGGGAGGTCTGAATCTTCAGCCGGAGAGTCATCGGATTCTTGAACAGAGTTCGTAGGTGCTGGTAAAGCAGAGTTCTTCACTGCAGATTTGGGTGCAATAGTGCTTTGTTGATCATATAGATAACAAGAAGGATTAAAGGTGGTGGCAATGAAAAAGGTGAGAAGATTGGAGGAGAGAAGAAGGATGAGATAGAAAAAATTGCAGGAAAAGGACTTGTGTTTATGAGGAGAATCCATAAATCCCACTTGGATCAATAGCTTAAAGTTGAAGAAGATCAGATCTGCAGGCGTGCTGAAGTTGTTAGCCTATGTATATATATATATATATACATATATTATATTCCTTCCGGCCCATTTTATGTGTTGGTTCTCTCCGTTCCATATAAATATCAAGTAGGACAGATAAAATGGGACTGATGAAAATGTTATATAATTCACATATTCTATAATGATTATATATATATTTGTGTTGGTTCTCTCCGTTCCATATTTGTGATCAACTGGCACTAGATGCTACCTTTCTCCACCCCTACCATCTTAGTCCTAACATGTGTTATTAATTCGAGTTTAGACTTTTTACTTAAGCACACATATCAGTAAATCTTCGAATCTTACAATTATATTATAAACTAAACGGTATAGTTTTTAGAATGAATAATTTTATCATTTTGGGGTTGGTATGTGAAGAAAAGAAGTATCGTGATCTGTGGCATGGTTGAAATGTCAACAATGGGGGATGCTCGATGAAATCTGATCTGCATGAGAAGAGAATTGAATAATTTAATTATTCCAAGAAATGAGGTTTAGTCTGTTTTACATTAAATTAATCTAGTATGTATGTATGTATGTATTTGGCTTCAGATTTAAGGTTGACAAAATGTTTGGTACGCTGTCTTGAAGCGTGATGATGAAGAATACATATTTTGCGGGATGATCCATGTGATATGTGAATGTGAATTCCCAATTTTTCAATGCTCTTGGAATTGAAGTCGCATAGATCCCTGCAAGTTTTAGGATTCACGTTTTTTTTTTTTGTTTTTTTGTTTTTTTGTTTTTTTTTTTGTTTTTATTTTTAATACTTAAATGTTTTTTAATTAGGCCAGAATATATTGAACTTTATAAACTTGTCACATGGTCATAAGGAGGTAAATCGAACCTACTTAGTTTTAATTTTTTTTTCCTTTTATTTTTTGTACTAAATGAGTTGAATAATACAAAAGATTGCACTCTAATCTCGAGAGTTTCGCTATTCTTATGAAAATATAACTAACTTTTCTAATGAAAATTTGTGAGGTTTACAAACGATTTGTACGGGTAATTGTTTCAATAACACTTAAGTTGAATAATTTTCCTTTTTGGTACCATAGATTTCTTCGATTACACATTTTTGTACCTTCAAGTGCAGAATTTGATCTTCAAATGCACACTTTTGTGCCTTCAAGTACATGGTTTTGAGCTTTCAAATGAACATTTCGTATAGAATTTCTTTTAAAAGAGTCATTAATCATCCTTATCTGCATTTTCGCGCCTAATCCTAAACTTTTATATATATATATATATATATATATATATATATATATATATATATATATATATAGTGAAAGGTTCCCGTGTGGTTGTGCGGTTATTAATGTGCGTGAGATTTGTACTCAATGTGCGTGAGTGTTATGCCTAATGTGTCTGAGATTTGTACTTAATGTGCGTGAATGTGTAAAATGCAACAGAAAATACGCATCTAATCCTAAACCTATATATATATATATATATATAAACCTTATATATATATATACTCATGATTTTTTACAAAGTAGTATTTGTTCTATACTTTTTTAAACATTTTTAGCCCAAAAAATCTAAGCCCCATCATTAAATTCAAATTTATCCATTCACTTAAAATGGTAATTGAGATGTCATCATATTATATGTTAGTATGTTAGTTGGTACGGGGCATGAGTTTAATAATATGCATGCGATTTGAATAAAAGTTGCCTTAATCTCTTAAATTTGAGTGTATAAATTAGTAAACGGGCATTAGATTTGGGAAAATTTTCGTCTTATGGAATATAATATGATTGTGTATAAGGGTATATATTAGTAAATTTTATTATTGTGTAATAACTTGTAAATTATAGGTAAATTGAATTAGTCATTTATTATTATTATTATTATTATTATTATTATTATTATTATTATTATTATTATTATTATTATTATTATTATTATTATTATTAAAACTTGCCTAATTATTGAAGAACGTAAATATGTATCTCTATAAAAATGTTATTTTTTCAAAGTAAAATTAGCAAAATGCATACAAATTTGAAAATTTTATACATAATTTTACACGTACTAAATTGGTCTTGTTTAAATAACTATTAGTGGATTTTACTGATTCAAATATTTATAGTTCATGAATATTTAATCTAAAATTTAATAAGCATTCAAAAAAAAAAAATCTAAAATTTAATAAGAGGCAATTATGTTAGTCCTTAATGAAATGAAAATTATGTTGGTAGTATAGTTGTATTAAGTGTTTGTTCTTTATGTTATTTGTGTTGTGTTTTTTTTTTGCAATTTTTTTTTCTATTTTACTTTTTCTATTTTTTTTTTTACATTTATTCTAACATTAGTTCTTAACTAGAATTAAAAATATGTTAGTGATATTAGTGTATTAAATGTTTTTATTTGGTGTTCTTTGTATTGTACATTTATTTATTTATTATTTGTTTTTGAAACACTCATGCATGATTTCTTACTTTCTCAAACTTTTTCAGCACAAAGAATCAATGCCTTATTACCATTCACCAGAGTTTAATCTTGTGATCACCCATTTTGAATGTAATAGAGATGTCATCACACTACATAATAGTTGACTTGTATTGTACATTTATAATTTCTTACCAAGTTTACCTTCAATATTTTTTATTTTTTTTTCATTTTGTTAGTTTTACCAGCGCTATGTAAAATAGAGGCAATATAATTGCATACATATGTGTATATGTAGTTTCTATAAATATAATATAATTTAATAATAATTTTAATGAATGCATGAATAATGTGTATCTATTTTTATATGATTTTCTTATTTAAAAATTTAATTTTTAAAAATAAAATCTCACCCTTTTTTTAGAGAAAGAGTTTAGTTTTTCCACTACTGGAAATTATGGAATTTCCGACCACCTGAAAGTGTCTTAAATCAATTCAAAAGCAAAAAGTGGTCGGAAATAGCAACAAAAGTTTTTCCGAATACCAAAAGTAGTCGGAACAAGACTTTTGACTTGATTTAGGATCACATTCAGGTGGTCGGAAATTTCATAATTTCCAACCGTGTTCATTTGTATCTTATTTGATGTGTGGAACATATGCATCATTGATTTATTGTCAACAAAATATTTCAATTTCATTTATTATGATATCGATATAAAAATCTAATTATAATAGAATAAATAATAAGAAAAACTAATTGTATTTGTTAAAAGTTATTTTTTTTTTTGAAACACAATACCTACTATGTTCAATGTATTTTTAAAAAAATTATACTAGATTATAATATTTATGATCATCAAAAATTAAAATTTTATCTTCAAATATTTATAAGATTTATGTCTTTATTTCTTTATTTATTTTGATAATTTAATTTCACTATCTAGTTGGTGTTCATGGGACATTATTCAATCGTACAGACTACAGAGTGTAAATTTACAATTACTTAATAGTTGTATAAAATTACATTAACTTTTGCAAAAGTTGTAAATGTGAAAAATAATATATATATATATATATATATATATATTTTTTTTTTTTTTTCTTTTTTTTTTTTCATTTAATCATTGACATATTCTAAAACCGCATGCAGCATGCTTCTATTATACTCCATGTGTTAAAATAAAAGCCTGTTATGCCACAACGAGATGGCCCATATCCAATATGATTGAATACTATGTCCAGCCCACCTCTTTTGAAACCAATCGTTATGCCATGAAACCGTGTTCACCGTCCATGGTGAATAGAGTCCCAAACAGTAACGGTGCCTACGGGCATCGTTATCTTTCATCAATCTTTTTTTTTTTTTTAATTAACAGCGCGACTTTTTTTCTTCATATTCACATTTTGCGGTTTCACTTCCTCTTCGCGCAAGTTTCTTCAACATTCATAAATTATGAATGTGCAGACATGAATTTATGAATGTGCAGTTATGAAATTATGAATTTTCTGTTATGAGATTATGAATTTTCTGTTATGAGATTATGAATGTACAGAAAATTCATAATTACATAACTGTAAGTTCATAATCTCATAACAGAAAATTTATAATTTAATAAATGTTTTTCTTTTATGAGATTATGAATGTACAGAAAATTCATAATTACATAATTGTAAATTTATAATCTCATAACAAAAAATTCATAATTTAATAAATGTAAATTCATAATATGAACATAGAATGCAAAACGCCGTTAACATCAAATTAACTTATTTTATTTTATTTTTCGGTAAAAACGATGTCGTTTGGGACCATATTCACAAAGCATGGTGAACATGTTTTCACGGCATAATTTGCGTTTTGAAACTATTGTAAAAAAAGTTGCCAATTTATATCGTGCACCACGGCGCACATAGCTATGTGCGCCCAGGCACAAAACGTGCGCATTTCATGCTGACGTCACTCTGTCCGTCCGAACAGATCAAACTCCATTATGTGTATTCAGTTAAAAATTTATGTGTATTGTGTTATGAGTTTATGTGTATTCAGTTAAGTGTTTATGTGTATTATGTTAACCAAACCTCATTATGTGTATTCAGTTAACAGTTTATGTGTATTGTGTTATGAGTTTATGTGTATTCAGTTAAAAATTTATGTATATTATGTTAGCCAAACCCCATTACGTGTATACAGTTAAAAGTTTATGTGTATTATGTATTATGTTAGATTATGTGTATTCTGTTATGAGTTTATGTACATTCGAAACATAAGATTTTTTTAACAACTTAACAAAATGACGTCGTTTTGGGAGGCACGGGGCGCACAGTGCTATGTGCGCAGTGGTGCACGGTATAACGATTGGAAAAAGTTCATTATAATATATCTTCTAAAATATCAATCAACATTGTACCAATTTACAATACAACCTTATATGCTATTTGAGTTATATTAAATAATATTGTTGGAACAATTTAACCACAACACTTTGTAATGAGACATACTATGGGGGTTGTAATTGCACTAATATAACCATATACGCTATTTAAGCGTGTTGATGTAAATTAAACCGTTTATAACCCAACATCGGTTTCAGAGATAGGAGTAGACAATTCAAGTGTAATAATAAGGGGATTGTCCTTGGTAGCTCTGAGCTACTAGAGCATGTTGTACATTACATTTAGTATATTATCACCCCTTCTTAAGATTGTTTGTCTCATTATTGTGAGTGTCAACAAGAACATAAGGGAATTGTTACAAAATTCAAATATCCATAAGACATTGGTGGGATAGTTAGTTCTTTCAAGTGAGTACATTGATCAATTAATTTTCTAGATACTTAAATAAGAATGGCTTAAATTTTATGTACCGCATAATTGAGTCTCCTTGGACTGCCAATTTACCTCAAAGGTTAACCTTATGAGGAACTACTAGATAGTATGAGAACAATGTAATCAACTAATCATAGTACTTGGTGTAAATAGGTTGATGGATAGGGTACCAAGGCCTAGTCAGTCGACCACGGACTGGTCGGTCGACCCTTGTTCTTAGCGACTGGTCGGACCTTTGGGCCTTGGCTGTGTGGGCGATTCAAAGAGACTACATACCAGACTGTATAAATAAGGTGGGGAACATGAATGAAACGCAGATCAGTTCGGGCATGAGTCAATTATCTTGTAGTAATAGACACCTAAAATTTTCAATAATAATAATAATAATAATAATTTTCATTGGTATATACCAAAGAAGAGTATGATTGTATACATTTATGTACGGAATTGCCTAAGCTAAACACAACAAAATTGTTTTACTTTTCCGGTCCGTCTCCGATCATCGATCAGTATGACCTTTTCAAATACTTGAAGCCGGTGGACGAGTCCAAGCATTCAACTCTATCCTTGTAAAGATTCATCAGCTTCAACAACTCCGTCGCTCTCTCCTTCGCTTTCTCTCCGCACCCAACTTGCAGAACCACCAGAAGCTTCTGGAAAGCTCCCAATTCCAGTGCTTCAATGGCGGCCCTTTCATCTTCACCTTTGCACAGTTTCCATATTGCCGAGATGCACAGCTCCGTGCCCACTTCCGAAACCCTCATGATCTTCTTCACTAATAACGGCATCGTTAATGGATGACTGCAAGCCTTCTCTCTCCCTTCTTGGCTTGAACAGACGCCGTCTAACACCGCTAACGCCGTCTGGCAGACATTTTTGTCGGCGTCGACGAGGATTTCCAGGAGGACGGAGACCAGGCCGGCGTCCAGGAGCTTTGAAATGACCTTTTTGCCATTGGGTTGCGAGGTGATCATGTGGTACATGACGGTGAGGGAAGCCTTGGTGGTGGTTTTATCGGAAGGGCAGATCGGTACTTTCACTGCGTTGAACAAAGCCTGGGGGATTTCTTGGTTGGTTTCTAGGAGGGCGTTGGCGTAATTTTGGTCCAAATGGAGTAATTCTTTGAGGACTATTAGTGCGTTTTGAGTGGCGGATAAATCCTCGCCGTTCAAAAACCATGCCATGCAACGTAATGACGTTTTTGACCCTAGCTTCGACCTGCCTTCTTCTCCGACAACGGGGAACATCCATGTTAGTACGGACAGCAAATCCTTCAACAAATCCGCGTGTTTCGCGCCGGGAACTCCGGCGAAGAACTCGAAACACGCCGCCAAGGCTCCGCCGGCGCCGTTCTCTCTAAGGCATTTCTTGTTTCGCTCACTCTCTTTACCCCAAACCTTAATTCTCTCGAGCAACTCCGCGCACTTCGCGTCGTCCCCACGCTCCGCCGCGCCCTCCATCCTCGCGCAAACCTCGGAAACCTGGGAAGGGCTCACCGGAATCCTCGGCGTCGGGATCCTCTCGACGCCGTGAGACTTGTTCTCCACGCACCACCCTTGGATCATTTTCCTGATGGCGTGGTTGGGTATGAGATCACGCGCCGTCGTCAAACCCTGATTCGTCACCGGGCACGTCTTGCTCCCCGCCTCCAGCCACCGCTCGATGCTCTCCCGGTCGTACGTGATTCCGGTGGACAATGTCACCGGATCTTTCATCAAGTCCAGCGTTATAGGACAGATGAAATTGGTGGGAATTGTCAGCTCTCCCAGTGAACCCACCCCGGAAATCTTCTTTTTCCGGCCACCACGCCCGGCGGCTTTGCCAAACTTCTTCAAAAAAGTCATTTCTGATCTGTAACGTTCAGAAGACTCGAACTTTAAAGCTCTTAAACTCTGATCTGATCTTCGAGTTACAAAATTATTGGTATGTATGTTAGCTATAAGATGAGGTATATATGATGAATGGAATGGAATGGAAGGAGTAAATGTTTATATATATACCCTTTAACGTGGGTCAAAGGTAGGAATGGGAAACGTTCAAAATATTAAGGTTGTAGCAGTATTTGAACGTTGACCGTTGAACGTTTGAAAAGGGCAAGTCCAATTGTTCGTAGAGCTGGCGAGTATTTCATAAATTTAATTTTTTTTTAAAAAATATATATTATTTTATAGTTAATATTATTTTTAAATTAGAAAAAACCGAGTCGGATGACCGAGTCAGGGTCAGCCAGTCGGTGCCCGACTTGTCAATTGCTAGACATTTATACCACACTGCTTTGAAGATGTACGTTATTTAATTCTTTTTTGTGGTGCTTAGCTTTTTCTTTTACTCTCTATTCATTATTTATTTGCTCCCTATTCTCATATGTTTTTTATTTGTATATTTTTCTAATTCCAAAATAAAGAATGGAGAATGAAACAGTGGAAAAAAATGAAATAAACAGAGTCAAATATTATATATTGTATGCAAAAACCAATGTGGCACTTTGCTTTTTAATTGGCCAGCGGCCTCCTATAGTTAGGGTATACTCTTAACACGCAAATTATATTGTGGAAACGTGTTCATCATGTGCATGGTGAACACAGGGGTAGATCCATAATTTCTATACTGTAGATTCATAATTTTTTTTTTTTTTTTTGAAAACGTTGATTCATAATTTTATTTTTTCATTTGTTGTTACAGATATTATGAATCTATAGTACAGAAATTATGAATTTACAGTATAGAACTTATGAATCTACAGTAAAAAAATTATGAATCTACAGTATAGAAATTATGAATCTACAATATGATATAGAAATTATGAATCTACAATATAGAAATTATGGATTTACCCCTGTGTTCACCATGCGCATGGTGAACACGTTTCTACAGTATAACTATTGGCTCATAACACCTCATGGCCTAACAAAAAAAAAACATTATATGTTGTAAACATTATTTATGGTGACACTTTAAAAAGAAATAAATATATTTTATTCCCTTAATTAAAGTTATAAAACTTTAACACTTAACATACGCGAATTTCCCTATCTATTTATCACATATGTTTTTCTTTTCTCACTATTGTTTGGAATTGAGCCCTTCGGCATGCATTTTATTCTTCTACTCAAGAAATATATGCGTTAAAATTATTTTGCAGAACAAATAGTCAATACCCTACTATCGAGATCCAATTCTATGACGACCTTTCCTCATGAGAGTCACAAAAGTGTCATCTAAGCACAAGGTGCTGGGATGGACTACATTAAAATTATTAAAATTTAAATATATTGCAACATCAATCTTGTTTTATGGCTGCACTTGGAGAACTCAAAAATGTCATGACGCCAACTTCTTATCACACCAAATAAAAGAGGAGGGGTAAACCTAGCTAAGATGGTTAAGGATACAAATTTGTAATCATAAAATCACGAGTTTGAGTTGATCATCTATAGACAATTTAGGCTTATTTATCTTCTCGTAATCCTTTAGGATCACAAAGCAGAGTTATCCAATGTATATTCTCGGATAGTAGATATGAGTTTCCCTCGTCACTCAAAAAAAAAAAAAAAAAAGTAAAGGGGGAGAGAGGGTATAGAAATTAAAAAATAAAGCGATAGGGAGTTAAGTGTTAAAATTTGAAAATTTTAGGGGTCAAATTGAATTTAACTCTTTTTTGTAATGTCGCTGTGGAGTACGTGGGCAACATGTCTAGACTTCCACAAAAGCGTATGAGTAATATTTGTCCTTTTAGTAGGGTCTTCGTTAATTTTTATGGGAATGGAATGAGAACGGGTCAAGAGTACTACATTTATCATTATTATTTTTTTGAAAACCACATTCATCATTATTAATTTATTTATTTTTAACAACAATATTCCTTAAACTGGTAAAAAAAAAAAAAGGTGCAATATAATCTTAACCTTATTTACTAGGTTATTGTTGATTTATCATATTTTCTGTATGTTTCTTTTTTTTTTTTTTTTTTTTTTAAATGTCGTGATGATTTGAAGAATACATAAGCTTAAGATTTAGCACATTCACCACTACATTTGAATAAAAGTACGTATATATAAAAATTTAGTCAATATCAAATATGTCGTAACTTGCTGAATATGAAACATTGCGACTCAATTCCAATTTCTTTTACAAGTCGAAAGAGTGAATAAATTTTTTTTTTTTTTTTTTTTTTTTTTTTTTTTTAGTTTGGAGCTTAGGGCTCAATTGTAGTGTTCACTTCACTTATAGCACTTATTTAATTCCTAAATTTAAGCCACATCTAAAATATCATTATTTTGTTTTCACCCTTCACTCGTGATTTATGGAGTTTTTCAATATCTGCATATATCTTATCTAGTGTTGATATCGACATAGAATTATAAAATAACCAAAATAATTTGGTCAGATAAAACCATAAAGGTTAAAACTTGATATTATGTAAAGGAAACGTAGACCTTAGTTCTTATAGTTAACCAATGTAAGAAGAAACATGAGACTTAATTAGAGTCCCACACATATACTTTTATCATTCATGCCTACCCAGTTCAATTTGGGGAGCTTGTCGCTAGTCTTGGACTTGACTATGAAAGTAACTGATGCAATTCGAAGAGCACAACAGGTCCGGAGCTATTGTCGTTTCCTTGATGAGCTCATGGCAGGACGAAACCAGTGTGGCATATATGAGGATAAGGCTGATCCGCGAAGTATGAGGAGTCTTTAGACACCGCACAGACGTTGTGTGCTGCGACGCAGTGACATATGATTGGTTACATATGGGAGAGTTAGTGTCCAAGCTCTTCTACATAAGATGTAGTTTAGAGTTTTATTATTATTATTATTATTATTATTATTATTATTATTATTATTATTATTATTATTATAACAAAAAGCTAATTAATTACTATATCCTATTATATATGTAATAATTATTTTTAAAAAGTATATAATAGCTACTAAATAAAATTTGTATTTATTAATATTAACTAGTTCTTTTACGCGCTCTGCGCGAATTGAATAATGTCCAATGATTATTTTTAAATAAGTATTTCAAACTATATCAATGCAATATTATATCGGAGATGTTCATGTATAGGTAAATAAATATTGATTTTTTTTTATTTAAATCGATAATTTAAAGTATATAAATACAAGATAATATATAAGAGATTAATTATATTGTCACTAAAATAAATGTTTGTAACTTTGTAATAACGCTAGTCTAAATAATTAGTCTAAAAACGATAGTCTAAATAAATACTTCTTTTGGTTTAAATTTCTCTAATTCTTCTTAATTCTCTTTTGGGTAGCATTGTCATTGTCTTCATCTAAAATACATGTCCTCCTTTTTTTTTTTTTTTTTTTTTTTGGCAGTGTGTCTTGTGCAATTGAGTTACTGGTGGTAGCATGGATGGATTCATCGTGCAATGAGATCATGGCCTAGGAAGCTTTAGATTTGTCTTGTTGTGTATATGATGGGATCTTAGTTGTACTATTAACTCTTTATCTTACACAAGCACCTATTGATATTTGGTGGTGGTAGTTTTTCCCCTACATGATTCATGCGTTGTGAGATGGGTGTCGTATGTTATCATGTGAAAGTATTGAACAAAATATTAATATTTTTATATTTGTATAAAATACTTGGTGTGTGTGTGTGTGTGTGTGTATATATATAAAACATATTTTGTATTATAACTTTGATATTTAGTTACAAGATAATGTAAAAAGAAGACAATGAACAATGTAGTGAATATAATAAATTAATAAATTTGAAGGTAATGAATCCTTGAATTGTAGAAAATAAAGATAATATAACTAATGAAATTATATCTCTTTTTAAAATTTTATAATGAATAATTTTTTTTTTTAAAATAAAGGCATTATAGACATCTAATTCTAAATTAATTAAATGCATATATATGTATTATTTTTTGTTGTAGCTACTAATTTATTTAATTTAATAAGAGTAATAAAGTGTCGTACATACTTTTCATCAACAATAATGAAATCATTGATTTTTTAAAATTTACATTCGTTGTTGATACAAATTGTTTTGAGAGTTTGTGAATGACAATTGTTACAATTCCTGTGAGTAGAGGATGATAATAAATAATTCAAAATATATAGTTACAATAGATATTGTTATAATAATATAGTAAAAATTAACTTAGAAATTCTTTAGAAGTTTTCATGCATTGATAAAATTCTGATATGTAAACTTGTCCAGTTGGAGCCAATGAGATGTTAACATTGCCATTTTTTTTTGGAAAATGGTCCTACCATTTTAGAGTCTAGGTGTAATTGTATTTATTATCAACAACTTTGTAGTTAGGTCGCGCAGGTCTGACAAAGATGTAAGAACAATTTTTTCTGATAAAAAAAATAATAGTATAATATTTGTAAAGTAATGTACAATTGTACCATTATAAAAATACATACAAAAAATATTAATATCATAATGACCTAAATCATACGAATAATGCAAATGTATAATTGAAATATTAAGTTTTGTTCTGATCAAAATAATCAAAAGAAGATTAATTAAACGAAAAAAAAACTTAACCTAAATTTATTATTATTATTTTTAAGGCATAAAAATCAAATGATTTTTAAAGTTCATTATTTATAATCTTTGATTTTTTTTTTGGTGAGGATTTATAATCTTTGATGCTTAACTTTGAATGTTATGTATTTAATGAGACTAATTATTTGACCAAACTTTTTGTTAAATTTTATATTATATATATATATATATATATACTAGTTTTTTACGCGCATTGCGCGATTGGGATAATGCCCAATGCTTTTTTTTTTTTTTGAAATAAGTACTTTAAAGTATATTAAGGCAGGATTATATTGAAATTGTTCATGCATAGATAATTGAAGGTTGAATTTGCGTATTTAAATAGGTAATTCTTCTCCCAAAGGTTGATTCCCCAACCCTAAGGGCCCCCCACACTCCGACCCGACAGAGCCC